CTAGTTGCAACTAAGATAGACGATCATATGATAATTATTAATACGATTCTTCGTAATAAAAACTAATTGTGCAAGTAATTTTTTTGATTAAAAATTTTGGTCAATGATAAGCTCATAACATCATTTATTCGTTGTATAAAAAGATTGAAGTATTAGCAATGGAATTACAGCTATAACTATTATGAGTTAATCCGTAATATTTTAAATCACTCAGTAAGTCTCCGGTCTGACACATATATGGCAACACTATTGACAGACCCATATGATTTCTGAATAGAAGCATATATATCAAAATTTCATGACATTCTGATAATTAGTTTATAGGTTACAGTGCTTTTAATGACCCCAGTTTTGTAATTTTCAAAACAATGAATAAAAAAAAATTTCGTGTGTTGATCAAACATTGTTCTTTGATTGGGGAAAAATACTGTTGAAGTCAAACAGTGGCTTGAGATAAGCGTTATGGTCTGCAACAGGGAAATCAACTATTATTGACTGATATGCTGAATTTAAACGCGGTTGTACAGACACCGATGATATTGAATGCTCTGGTCTGATATTGAATGCTCCAAAATCGGCAGTTCTTCTGGAAAACCTAAAAAAAAATTCCACAAAGTAGTTTTGAAAGACTATAAAATGAAGTTGCGTGAGGTAGCTAACACCTTAAAGATATCAGAAGATAATGTGTTTGCAATTTTATACGAAAATTTGAGCATGCTTAAGTTGCTTTCGAAATGGGTGACACGTTTGCTCACACCGGATAAAAAACAACAACAACGCGTCGACGATTTAGAGCGCTGTTTGGAGTTATTCAAGCGAGATAAAAAGAATTTCTTGCGTCGATATGTGACAATGAATGAAACATGGATCCACTACTAAACATCTGAATCAAAAAGATCGTCAGCTAAGTAGACAGTAGCCGGTGAAACTTGTCCAAAGCGACTAAAAACTCAAAAGTCAGCTGGCAAGGTTATGAAATCCGTATTTTGATACGTGCATGGTATATTTTGTTCATCGACTATCTTGAGAAAGATAAAACTATTAATAGCAAATATTACACGGCATTATTGGATTGATTGAGTGTAGAAATCAAGAAAAAAACGACCTCATATGCAAAAAGAAAAGTGCTCTTTCACTAAGACAATGTCTCGTGTCACAAGTCAATGAAAACGATGGTTAAATTAAATGAATTATACTTTGAATTATTTCCCCATCTATCGCGTACTCTCCAGATCTGACCCCTAACGACTACTGGCTTTTTGTAGATATCAAAAAGATGCTCCAAGGAAAAAAATTTGGCTAAAATGTAGATGTGATTGCTGAAACTGAGGCCTATTTTGAGAGCAAAGATAAATCGTTCTACGAAGAAGGCATCAAAAAATTAGAGAATCGTTGGAATGAATGTATCATTCTTGAAGGAGAATATGTCGACGAATAAAGTCAAATTTCTAAAAAAAAAAATTTGTTTTTCTTAGCTAGACCGGAGACTTATTGATTGATGTGTTAGGTAGATGATCATATGAAAATTATTAATACGATTCTTCGTGAGATAAACTAATTGTGCAAATAATGAGTTGCAATTTTGTTGGTTTAAAATTTTGATCAACGATGAGCTTATAACATCGTTTATTCGTCGTATAAAAAGATTAAAATGTTGACAATGGAATTATAGCAATATCTGTTATTGTGAGTTAATCCGTAATATTTCGGATTAACTTATAATATAAATATACCAATGGATTATAATCGGTACCATTCAGAACAAATCAAACATTTAGGATCACATTTCGTATTGCAACACATGCTAAAGCTGCCCAACTGATAAACACTCTTATGAATCAGCTTGAACATGGGATGGAGGGAGTTTAATGGAAGAATTTTATTTCTCCTGACTCCATTTCTCTTGTTTATATCTTTGATTAGCCTTGAGAACCATAAAGACCGGGGAGATGATAGAATAACAACACTTATGTTAAAGCATATCTCATTTAAAATCGTTTTATAAATTTATTAAGCTTTTAAGATTTATATCATTCGCAGTTATTTTCTTAATGAATGGAAAATCACTAAGATTATTCCTACTTTCAAATCTAATAAATTCAAAGATAATGTGAGTAGTTATAGGCTCATTATCCTCAACTCCGTGCTGAATAAAAAGATACATTTAAAAGATACATTTGTAACAAGTTATTAAAACATTTCAACAATATCAAGGCAATTATCAATCAGCAATTTGGCTTTAGGAAGGTTCATTCAATGTAATAGACTCATTCATCATAAAACAAGTACATCAATGACTTTAATAGTTCTCGAGCTAATTACCTTTCATATTTCAATCAGTAAAGATATCAGCTTTATTTTTCCGTACGACTAATCTTGAATAATAGACATCTTTTCATTAATATATAAAATATTTTATAATAATCAATCTGTACATTCGTTTAAAAAGTACATAACTCATAACACACGTTAAATATGAAACAATTTTAAGTATTTATAAAGGATAGTAAAGTTCCAGGAAGTAAATTTTTCAGTGATCGTCAATATTAATTGTTATTTATTAAAAATAACTACCGCGTATTAGTGTCAGGGCATCATTGAAGAGAATTTCAAACCTACAGCAATGTCGATTTATCTCATTTTTGAATGATCTACGAATCAAACTCCCTCAATTTCGATCTAAATCGTGGATGAATGTTTTGGAGTCATTAAAAAACTTCTCAAATTGTATGTGAATGAAATCCTTCCGATCACTCAATTATGTCGAGAACGAAAGATCTAAATCGGCATGGATGATTGATTGTAATTAATTATTACAAAATCATTATAGATTTTTATTGTAATTAATTAATAATAGATCATATTTTTTGTTTTATTTATTAGATCAGCATAGGATTTACTTGTTTTATATGTTTTTATAATTTTTGTACTTTGAATATATCAATGAATTTATAAATATTTTTCTTTCGTGGAAATAGTAAAGAATCAATATTAATGAGTTCTAATAAAGAATAAGCAGTCCATAATCAAGTAATATATTTTTTACTTTTTGTTTTTTTTTTTTTTTAAATTCTATTAAATTCATAATTTTTATTCTTAAAATCGTAGTACTATATTAAAACCATTGTTACGAAATGTATGTGATATGGCAATTGTGGGGGGGGACCATTAAAAGTGCATTGAACCAAGATGCAAATGAAGTTGAAACAAATACACTGGGATATGCGCCAAGTTCTCCCTTTGCCACGCATGATGAGAAAAGAGTATTTGTTTAAATTAAGATCGAGAAATTTTCACTTTCTTTTTTTCTTTCAAAGTTAAATCAAATTAAATTCAAGATTTTATCTTTCATAAATAATATATATATATATATATATATATATATATATATATATATTCTTTCCTTATTTCTTTTTTTTTTCTATAAAATCAAGTTTTATTAGAACCATTAAAATAGAGAATTTTAAAATCACGAAACGAATAGGAAATGGTATTTGTGTGGAACACTGAAACAACATTGAGTAAAAATACATTTGGAGTTGAAATAAGCACACTTAAATAGATACCATATTCTTCAATAACGTTACGTGAAGATTAAAGATTAAGAACTTTTCATTTTCGATATAAATAATTCAATATAATAATAAATAATTCAATATAATTTATGATATATACATATATATACATAAATATATATATATATATATATATATATATATATTTGATAGTTACATTAACAAGAACATAGATTTATCCGTGATACACGCTGATTACTTAAAAAAATAATAATATGTATAGATATAAGAAATAGATCTCACGGTATGTTAGATTTAAAATAACTTAATTGAAAAAAACTTAATTGTTGTGTTACACGTGAGAGTGATATAATCAAAGCAAACTTATACACCGACGCAATAGGCGCATAGCGGAAATAGTATATCTTTATTGCGTTTATAGTTTATATTTTGTCCATATCTGCGCTGAAGTTACATATGCTACGAGCGAAAAGTGGTTTAAAGTCTTAAAGATCGTCAATTCCTTAAACTATTTTTTTAAATTATAAAACTCTTCTAAACCATAATATTTTCTTGACCAAAATGAAGTATCTCTGAATCATTAATGGTGATTGATATTAAATTAATTCCTATTGCTTCATGAATTAGCAATACATAATAAAATAATATTGTCAACTTTTATGCTTCAAACAACGACAAAGTATAATAAACAAATACTTAATAAATATAATATTTAATGTATGGTTCATTATTTTTCGATGGTAACACGTAAAAAAATCTAATAGACACTTATCTCTTAATTTAGTTTATCTTGTTATTAAATTTGTAAATAACATGCATCAATTTTTCAAAATAACAGATAAAACCATACATCTCGTATCTTTGAATTTTATGCTACATTGATATTCAGTTTTTCTCTTTAACATTCATCATCATCATTAAGTATTATAACATCATAGTATCATATAACATCATTAAATATCAAAGTACAATAATTATTTCATGGTATTATTGGATATTACAAATCTTTTTATTAATATTATAATATATGATTATATATTATATTATTATATATTATATTATATATTATAATATATAATTTCTGAACAATCCTAAATTTAAAAATGAAAATTTTTCAAAATTATGACCATTTATCTTATCGACAAGTAAACACGAAGGTAGTATCGACTGGTACATCGTTAAATGCTACTTACGATGAGCAACTTCTCATACGCTGTTGCCAAATCCTTAAATGATTCTGTTACACATTCTTTCATTACGATGTTGCCACATATTTGCATGGTTAACTTACATATGTATCTAAAAGCTAAATTTAAAAAAAATTACTTACATATTTATATCTTTACAAATATAAAAACAAATCTGCTTTAATTTGCATAAATTTGAATTGAATGTACATAAATTTAAATAAACAAAACAATTTTTTATAATTTCGCTAATAGAAAAAAAAAAATTACTTGCAAATATAAAAATTAACATTTGTATATATTTACAAGATAAACTAATGTTTATAACGAACCATTAATACCGTAATTCAAACGAGATAATTCCCTAAGAAAAAATTCATCTGGTGGCCCTAAAAAGGGCCGTTTTAGTTTGCAAATTTTTAATTATGTTTTCTTTTCTGTCTTCTTTGGAAGCAAAACAGCTTGTATATTCGGCAAGACACCACCCTGAGCAATAGTCACGCCAGACAACAATTTATTTAATTCTTCGTCATTTCGAATCGCCAATTGTAAATGTCTTGGAATAATTCTAGTTTTTTTGTTATCGCGAGCTGCATTTCCGGCCAATTCGAGAACTTCAGCAGCTAGATATTCCATTACTGCCGCCAAATATACTGGCGCTCCGGCTCCAACACGTTCGGCATAATTACCCTTCCTTAAAAGACGATGGATACGGCCAACTGGAAACTGTAATCCAGCTCTATTTGACCGCGACTTCGCTTTACCCTTTACTTTACCACCTTTCCCACGTCCGGACATATCGTACTTCTTTAAAAAAATATAAATTTATAAAATCGTAACGAACGCTTCCAGTTCTGTTTCAGAAATAACGATGTGCAATGAGGTTATCGTATTTATACTGTTCCTCGTACATCGAAACGGACCAATGAAATTGCTCGGGAGGTTCTGGGGCTTCTATAGCGCTCCTATTGGTGGAAGACAGAGTCACTACAGACTACATAACGAGAGTCAAACCCAGCGAAGGGTTATTATTCGCTAAGCTATACGTGGTATTGAATCTGTTGCGATAAACAAAGATTTGTATTCATTATGCCGCCTAAAGCTAGTGGTAAAGCTGTTAAAAAAGCTGGTAAAGCACAGAAGAACATTAGTAAGTCCGACAAAAAGAAGAAGCGTAAGAGGAAGGAAAGCTATGCTATTTACATCTACAAAGTACTTAAGCAAGTACATCCGGATACCGGAATCTCCAGTAAAGCCATGAGTATTATGAACAGTTTCGTCAACGATGTTTTTGAACGAATTGCCGCGGAAGCATCGAGATTAGCTCATTATAATAAACGTTCGACGATCACTTCTCGGGAAATTCAAACTGCAGTGCGTTTGTTGTTACCTGGTGAGCTCGCAAAACACGCTGTTAGCGAAGGTACTAAAGCAGTGACCAAATATACGAGCTCAAAATAAAAGATTAATATCGTGGAATTATAAAACCGGCCCTTTTTAGGGCCACCAATAATTTTTTACGTTGAACATGTTTCTTATATGGAAATATTCAAATTTTTATTTGTGCTGTTTTTTTTATATTTAACTATTATCTTTCTAATTTATATCATCTCTGTAGCTTGTTATAAGAATTATATTAAATTTTTTTTTTAATTCGTCCATATACCGAGTTGTAGATATAAATGTTACACAGTAAATTCACAAGATGTTTTAAGTTTATTGATAATTTTGCCGAATCTGCACCAACAAATTCTGATATCAAAATTGACCAAGCAATCATTGTATCTTTGCAATTTTCCTATCTTTGGTCAAGATCAATGTCATATATACCGATAAAACAATCGGATCTCATTCGAATACCGTCATTAATTACAATATATACCAGACTGGCGATCATTTTCTTATTTTATTAAATTATGACATATGGTTTCTACTGGCAAAATCGAATAATAAAAATTGTTGTCTAATCCATAATTTTATCGTATACGATTGACAATGTTATCATGTGAACATTTACATACATAAATGAATATATGCGCTCTTATAGAAAGGAGTAAAAATAAACGCTTAAAAAAACAAAACTGAATCGATGTCATATGAACGGCGGAGTCATTAACATTTACGAAACTATACATTTTTTATATATAGAACAATATGAGAACAGTTTTTTTTTAATCATTTTTTGTGTTTCATCATTTTTCATCAATATACAATGAATAAAGCGTAACGAAGATACTAAATCATTTACCCAACTTTAAAAAAGTTATCCTTCTAGAGAAGTTACAAAATTATATTTTTAAAATGCTAAATACGATCAAAATTATTTCATTTTAATAAGAAAATTATTTTATTATAGTAATATAAATAGTGGTTGAATATATGACGACATATTATGGAAGTAGTTTAATGATAGGAAAAAATGAATTATTAAAAAATTTAATACACTCAACAATTCCAATTGAATACACTATTGCAATGTACAAAAGAACACATTTGGATTGATTTATAATTTGTGATGAAACAAAAACTGAACAATTAAACATCAAATGTTAACTAAAATATTAACAATCAAATTGAATTTCATATTGCATAGGTAAAAATATATAAAAACTTATTTTTAATGGGCATAATTAGTATTATAAAATCGAAATCGATTAATCGAAACAATCGTTTTCGTTTCGATTGTCGATGTATTTCAACTGATTATAAAAGGTTCGATTAATCGAAAAAAAATCGATTTTATTTTTTCGGAACATCGATTGTTGAACATCGATTTTTTAAAAAAATGTTTGAAAAATTTTTGCAACTAATTTTAAATCGAGAAAGTATTGTTTATTCAAGAAAAAATATTTTTTATCACTCGTACCCTTTATTACTTTTTCAGTTCTAACTCCCTTTAAATACATAATTTATTTGAGAAAATCGGTTGTTGAATATTAATGCTCGATTATGAAGTTTTTATTAACTATGAAGTTAATAAGGAAAAAACTTTCATAAAAATAGATTTTTCGATTAATCGATTATTTGATCAGTTGATTGATGGTATTATTGATTGTCAACGATCGATTATGCGCAAGTTGATTTTATTACAATACTAGTAATTACTAATGTATCGGAGAAGTTCCATTTCGTCAAAAAAATTTGTGGCCCTGAGAAGGGCCGTTTTTATTATCAAAAAATAACTGAAAGACCTGCATCTACGAAAGTTTTTAACCACCAAACCCATAGAGAGTGCGGCCTTGACGTTTCAGAGCGTAGACGACGTCCATGGCTGTTACAGTCTTTCTCTTTGCGTGTTCAGTGTACGTGACTGCATCACGAATAACGTTTTCCAGAAAAACTTTCAATACGCCACGGGTTTCTTCGTAAATTAATCCAGAAATACGTTTCACACCACCTCGCCGAGCTAAGCGACGAATTGCAGGTTTGGTGATACCTTGGATATTATCACGAAGAACTTTCCTGTGACGCTTGGCACCTCCCTTTCCCAATCCTTTTCCTCCCTTTCCTCGACCAGTCATTGCGAAATTTTACAAAAGCAAGTAGATCAAAACAGATCCTCACAGAACCGTAGCTGTCGTTGGAATGACTTCGAATGCTTGGTGTCGCCCTATTTATACCTTGCAACCTAACCTTTTCCCCCACTAAATGCAACGCACCAATCAGAGAGCTTGGAGACACAGTAAGTATTCTTAATTGACTTTCACTCGCTTCGAGCGGTCGATAACTTGAAAAATATTTCATCTTATTATTTCTCCATAATTAAATTCTCATAAATTATTTGTAAAATATTTCTTTATTTTGTATAATAATTCAAGTAGTAACAAAAAATTGTAGTTAATTCATTCTGCAGCGTATCGTTCTTTTTTTATATTTTTATAAATCTCTTTTTATTATTACTCAAATATTATTTCTACAATCTTCTATTATATCATTATTATATATTATATTATATTATCATTAAATATAATTTATAACAATTGTGCTATGAAGAAATAACATAATAAAATATTTTTCAAGTTATTGACCGTCTGAAGGGAATGAATGACAATGAAGAATTCTTTCTACTTCTCTAGGTTTTCCAATTGGTGGATTGCGTTTGGTAGGGGAAAAGATTAGTTGCCAGATATAAATAGGGTGACTCCAAGCGTTCGAAGTCATTCCAACGACTACTACAGTTCCGAAAGGTTCTCTTGTAATCTATTGTAATTTGCTTTTGTAAAATTTCACCATGACTGGTCGTGGAAAGGGAGGAAAAGGATTGGGAAAAGGAGGTGCTAAGCGTCACAGGAAAGTTCTTCGTGATAACATCCAAGGTATCACCAAGCCTGCAATTCGTCGTTTGGCCCGGCGAGGTGGTGTGAAACGCATTTCTGGATTGATTTACGAAGAAACTCGTGGCGTATTGAAAGTTTTCCTGGAAAACGTTATTCGTGATGCAGTCACGTACACCGAACACGCTAAGAGAAAGACTGTGACAGCCATGGACGTCGTCTACGCTCTGAAACGTCAAGGACGTACTCTCTATGGATTTGGTGGTTAAAAGCTGCCATAGCTGCAGAATTCAGTCATTTTTTGATTATAAACGGCCCTTCTCAGGGCCACAATATTTTTTTAACGAAATGGAACTTCTCCATTACATTAGTAAAATTATGTTATTAAATAAATTTTCAAATAACCTATTTTCTTACAATAAACTATACTTTTATTATATTTAGTTATATATATTCATCTTTTGTTTCATTCATCCTTGCTATGACAAATCTTATTTTTTTTATTAAAAGAGTAAATTATTTCACTGGAATTAACAGCATTTCAAGGATATATTTTTCTCAACCATTTTATGGGCAATATCTTTAAAATGAGAAATAATTGTTTTTTTTTTACTTACACTTTATACATTTCATATTGAATTCTCATTTTTAAAAAAATGAGAAAAAAAATTGGAAAAATTATCAAAATAGTAGACAAAACCGTTTTATATATCTAAATCTATAGATTCTTAAAAGTTTTTAACATTTAGATGTATTATTTGCTATGAAAAATAAATTTTAATAATTGTATGCATATAAAGCCATATACTTATATATAATTGCAAAGATATTATATAAACTATAGAGCAATGTGTGTTACTAAAAGTGAATGTTTTTGATATTAATCCTATTTTAACAAACATGATTCATAGTACGCAATGAGCAATATTTTGGATACTGCTGCAGGAAATAGAATATTTTGTTTATATTATATGTTGAATTGATGATGTTCAATTTATTTGTTTTTTTTTAGTAAACATAGATCAACACATTTCAGAAGTGAAATTTGTTACTTCCCGCAAACAAAATCAGAATATATTTCTTTTCGTAATAGATTTTATCAAAACTTGCTATTTGTCGAAATCAATAAACACTTTATCGCTATAAATGAAAACATGCTACTTTCGAGAGCAATTGAAACGTACTGTTGCTCTTCATGTTACGAAGTTCAAAGTACTAGTCTGTCTTAGCAAGACAAAAGAAATGTGATATTTCTTGTAATGCATATTTATAAGATGATGAAATTACATATACAGAAAATAATAATCTAAATAAAAATTGTAATATTACCATAAAAGAATATATGTTCAACGTAAAATATTATTGGTGGCCCTAAAAAGGGCCGGTTTTATAATTCCACGATTTTAATCATTTATTTTGAGCTTGTGTATTTGGTCACAGCTTTAGTACCTTCGCTAACAGCGTGTTTTGCGAGCTCACCAGGTAACAACAAACGCACTGCAGTTTGAATTTCTCGAGAAGTGATTGTTGAACGTTTATTGTAATGAGCTAATCTCGATGCTTCCGCGGCAATTCGTTCAAAAACATCGTTGACAAAACTATTCATAATACTCATGGCTTTACTGGAAATTCCAGTATCCGGATGGACTTGCTTAAGTACTTTGTAGATGTAAATAGCATAACTTTCCTTCCTCTTACGCTTCTTTTTATCGGACTTGCTAATGTTCTTCTGTGCTTTACCAGCTTTTTTAACAGCTTTACCACTAGCTTTAGGCGGCATAATGAATACAAATCTTTGTTTATCGCAACAGATTCGATATCACGTATAGCTTAGCGAATAATAACTTGTTGCGGGGTTTGTCTCCTGTTATGTAATTAACTTGTAGTGACTCCATCCTCCACCAATAAGAGCGCTATAGAAGCCCAAGAATCTTTCGAGCAATTTCATTGGTCCGTTTCCACGTACAAGGAACCGTATAAATACGATAATGCTACTGAGCACTGTTATTTCCGGAACAAAGTTTATAGCTTTTTTGTTTCGTATTTAAAAGTTTATATTTGAATGAACTGACACGAATTGTCTCCATTTATCATCAATGGTAATTAAAACACACGCTACACATTCCAAAATAATAACAATAACAAGACAGACATTATACTATGTAATCACATAATCCTACGATCATTACTAAATTATATACTTGCCAGATCATACATGACAATTTTGAATCAATCGTCAACTCTCTCTATAATAAACTTCATCTATACAAAATGTAGGATGATCAATCAATGATGAATCTCTAATTCAAACATCTGATTATTGTGCTATAACGCATATAGCCAACTCCAAAAACTAGATTCTTATGTGAATTATAAACTAGGACCACTATTATTTCTTGCTCATGAGAAAGATCAAATAGAAAAGCAACATTTTCATGTTGCAACGACGTCGATGATTATAAAAATATGATTGTCAGTGAGAATCATTCACTATCAATAACTCAATACCTGAAAATTGAAAAGAATTTAATAGATAATCTTCATCTGATTAATCTTATCCGGTTTTGCAAGATCAGTTGAAATAAATTGAAATATAGAGGAAAACAATTATTCTTTGATTTTATACATGATCCTTCTACACAAATCTAAATCTGCTTCTCCAAAAATTAGTTAAATTAAAGTCTAACTATTTTAATGTTATAACCGAGTACATTACGCAAAACTATAATAGAAGACGACACTGTTGAAATGGGAGTTCAGCTATATCTTTTCAGCATCAATTTTGTTTATTAATAATATTGCTATGCACTCTTAGACTCATTCGACTCTTTTTTTTTTTGTTGTTGTGGTATCGCAATCTTTGCCGCATCCTGAAAATCTCATAACTTTACTCGGAAGATTGCAAAATTATCTGAGTATCTTCATTGATTTTGAATATCTTCAGTGACTGAATTTTTGATAAAATTGAAGTCTGCTTTTTCACGAAAAGGGGTCGTCTTATATTTCTGAAAAAGAACTATATCAACTAGTTATCAGTGATTTTTGAGTTTCATGGTGGTCAAGATCACTCTCGTGGAATTATTTTTCGAATAGTCGATCCGATTGAATATCTATAAAAATGTGTATTAAATTCGGACCTCGCTTATGGAGTATCAGATATGGTTTGAAATATTATTCAACCTAAATATTTGAAAATTAATATTCAACAAATGTAAATCGAAACTTTAAAATAATATTTGGATTATCTAAGGATGGTTCCATTTGAAATACTTTACGACTTTACTACTTTGTAAACAAATCTACTAATTTTTATTATCGCGTTTAATTTCATAAATAAAAATCTCGTAAATATTTTTAAATTTATCGTTTTCTGTATTTATATATATATATATTTCTTTTTGTATAGAAAAATCTAAATTGATTTAAGAAATATTATATTAGCAAATTATCTCCTATGTTTTTTTTTCCCAAGAATTTCTAACTTTTATACCAAAAAACAAATAAACATATACTCTTGAATAATCAATAATTTTATCATAAAATATCTATTAAAGTTATTAAACATTGTAAAATATTTTAAGTATTAAATTGTTCGTATTGTAATTCAAATCCATTATTAGCATATAGTTAATTTAATATCTTCGTAAAAAAAATCCTATCTCACTGACGATGTGAAATTCAAGAATCCCCTTAATCATAATGAATTCGTTTTGGCCCTAAAAAGGGCCGTTTAAAATCGCATAATAGATTATGCTTTCTTCTCCGTCTTTTTTGGTAATAAAACACTTTGAATGTTCGGCAATACACCCCCTTGAGCGATAGTTACACCAGATAGTACTTTGTTCAATTCTTCATCGTGACGTATGGCAAGTTGTACATGCCTCGGAACTATTCTGGTTTTTTTATTATCACGCGCTGCATTTCCAGTCAATTCTAAAACTTCTGCGGCAAGATATTCTAATACTGCAGCCAGGTATACAGGTGCACCAGCACCTACACGTTCGGCATAATTACCCTTCCTTAAAAGTCGATGGATACGGCCAACAGGAAATTGTAAACCAGCTCGGAGAGATCGTGATTTAATAGTAATCTTTCCTTTTGATTTACTATCACTGCTTCGTCCAGACATTTTAATGATATTAGAAGATATAAGAAACGTGTAAAATACAATAGCACAGTCTGAATGCGCCAATCGAATGATCGCTCCGAATAGAACGGTTCATATATATACAAAAACTTGAACCATCCGTCCGACCAATGGCGTTCGAGCGTGATCCCCTCTTCAATGCGATTGGCGCAGCCCCACTCTCGTCTTATTACATATAAGGAACGCCGTATTTCACGAACTTCATTCAACGTTTTGATTTCGTGTAGTGCTGTTGTATTCGACGATAACTTCAATTAATTATTCACTATGCCGCCTAAAGCTAGTGGTAAAGCTGTTAAGAAAGCTGGTAAAGCTCAGAAGAACATCAGTAAATCCGATAAGAAGAAGAAACGTAAGAGGAAGGAAAGTTACGCTATTTATATCTATAAAGTACTTAAGCAAGTACATCCGGATACCGGAATCTCCAGTAAAGCCATGAGTATTATGAATAGTTTCGTCAACGATGTTTTTGAACGAATTGCCGCGGAAGCATCGAGATTAGCTCATTATAATAAACGTTCGACGATCACTTCTCGGGAAATTCAAACTGCAGTGCGTTTGTTGTTACCTGGTGAGCTTGCAAAACACGCTGTTAGCGAAGGTACCAAAGCTGTGACCAAATATACAAGCTCTAAATGAATTTTGTGTTACGGAAAAAAAGAACCGGCCCTTTTTAGGGCCACCAATAATTTATTACGTGGAACATATTGATACGGAATTAAAATTTGTTTTGATATAATAAACCAATTTTATTGGAATTTTTGGTGAATTGTGCATTGAGATCAATTTTGTTTACAATTAGTAATTTTAAATGTGTTGTGTGGATAGCGTTAAAATTTTCCCAAACAAATCATTTCTATCGAATATAAATTTTTGAAAATCGTTTTTATTTCCATATACCATTTGATTTTTTCAAATTTGTCAAAATATTGAGAATAATGTAAATAATGTAAATGAGTAAAGCACTTTGTACAAATAATAAGTGAAGTAAACTTACCTATTAACGAAAGATATTTGCTCCTTATAGATAATACATTTTCTTTTTTCAATATTCAAAAGGAAATAAAATGTTAAGAAGGAAAATGAGAAATTGGAAAATATTTGATTGCTATTATTTATCTTTTTTTTCTTTTTTTTCTTCATTTTCTTTTTCCTCATCGATAGTGAGCCGCATAATCTGTGAAGCGAGCATTCACATCGAACTTCGAGTACGCCTATTTTTTATTTGCAGATTTACATATTAATATCTAAAAATTTACAACAAACAGGAATGTGTCTTTAGGTGTATGCGGGTGTGTTTTCTCTTTTTTTACTTTTTCTTTTCTTTTTTTTTCTTTTTTTTTTCTTTTTTTTTTCATTATATTTTTATTTTTTTTAAATGCATATTCGTGAGTGGCAGACCTGAGAAATTGATCACTCGTATATATCTTTAATTTACGGTCAATAGAATCGTTTCGTTAGTTTAACATCTTGTTCGATATTATCGAAGCAAATTTATCTTTTATATTTAACTTTGAAGTTTTTCTTTTGTTCTTTTTGGTTTCTTTTTTTTTCTTTTTTTTTTTTTCTTCGAACAACAAAATATCCTAATATTTTATTAAATATCCAAAATATATATACAAAAAAAAAAAAAATAAAATAATACAAAAAAATTACGTACGTAGGTCAGCCAATCACGAAAAATTCGAGTCGTCTTAAACTAAAACGAATTTCTTTTTAGCAATCATTAATAATTACACATCGATCCACGCTCCGCAATGTTGATTTATTACCCAAAATGTTTATTTGTTTATTTGAATATTTTATTTTCAACGAAAGGTGATCGAGCGATGATTAACGCGGAATAAGAATTTCTTTCATTTTTTTTTTTTTATATATATATTTTTCTTTTTCTCCTTCTTCGTCTTCATTTTTTTTTCCCCCCTTTTCTTTTATTACTCTTCTTTATTTCGAAGTAAATACTCTAGAGTAGAAAAAGGGTGAAGAGAGTGAGGTGAAATGAAAATTTTAGAAAGCTCGTACGACTTGTCTCCCTCACGATTTGCATGATCTTCTCTTTCTTTATTATTTTTCTTTTTCTTTTTTTTTTTTCATCTTTCTCTTTTCACTTTTTCAATATATCGACGAAGAGAGAACAATAGAATTTAATAATCTACATTGCGCACTGTCGAGCAATGGAAATATCATTTGAATCAAATGGTTCTCTACTACTACTACTACTAGGAGTAATTTTCTTTAAGTAATAATTTTCAAAGAGTCGGCAAAAATATCTCTAAGCAATTTCACCTAGCTAATACAAAATTGAACAAATTTTTTCTTCTTCCCTTTTATAACAAAATCCCTAAAATATTTTCTTTAGATCTTCTTCACAACAGAATGGAAATAAAGAACCATTACTAACGACAGTGCCAAAGGTGCTGGTTAGTTCGTACTTTTTAATAACTTAGAAAATATTCCTTTTGTACGACGCTCTTGTAATAATATTTCTTTTTCTTTCTTTCTTTCTTTCTTTCTGCTCCCCTCCCCCTCCCCCTGAAAGTAACAACTTCATTATCATAATAATCTTCTCGATAGTTGTGTACACTTCAAAATAATTTCAAGTTGTGCACTTGGGTGTACGTTAAACCTCAGACACTTTAAACAGCTCTCATTTATACAGAACGAATAATTTTGACTCAAAAAAAGGAAAAAAAAAAAAAAAAAAAATCATGAATCATAGAACGCGCAAATTATTTTAATTGAGCTCAAAATTGGTCCTATATATTTTACACCCCACAACTAAGATTAATTTTGTCGGATGATTGGTACAATATTGACAAATTGCTGACTTTGATCACTTAATTTTTTGAATCATTCGTTGACCTGATTTGTCGGCGATCGGTCGACAGTGCGCATATAGCTTTAGGGTAAAATTATATAGAAGTATGTTTATCTCAACGATTTCGATGATTTTTGAATATATTATTGGAAGGGGCATGATTTTGAACAATATTTTTCCTACACACACACACACACACATATACACACATACGCACGCACGCACGCTTACACACACAACCACTGCCTGGTTTTAATTTTCGAGATATTAATGAAAATATCTTTCATAATTTTTAACTTTGATTTGAGTTGAATGTCGCTTAGTTTTGGGTTAGGCTTATCTACGGATATGATTATATTCAACATTTCTCAACTTATAATTCGCGAAATGATATTTTACTATCTTATATGCCAAAGCGAGGAAAGTGATTAAATTTGTAAGAGATTTTGAAAGATTTACAACACATATCAAGGTAAATATATCGAAACATATTTTCATCGATTATTTCGAAAGTTAATGCCGAGAGAATGGATTATATGTATAAGAAAAAATTGTTCAAAATTTGGATTTCTATATATATTTAGAAGAATCATCGAAATCAATGAAATCGATGCACTTCTGTATAATTATCGGAGTTAATGTTCTCGTAAATTTCATTTTATTTTATTTTATTTTATTTTATTTTATTTTATTTTTTATTTCATTTTATTTCATTTTATTTTTTTCTCTATCTCCTTAGACAAGTTTCGACGTTGAAATGATTCAGTCATAATCATAAAGGAGGCAACGAGTACCGAGCACTTCCGATCTCGCTTATTCAAAAAGGCGCGTACGAACGAGGAACAAGGTTTACGATCGCTTACGCAGAGCGTCGTTAACGATATTTAAAATTTACAAAAATTATATGACAGATGTCGACGAACGTTCTTTCTCCTTGAATGACATCCCATAAACAATTTGAAAAAAGTTATCACGGAGTTTATGTAAGACCGTCAAGTTCTTTTTTTCTTCTTCTTCTTTTTTTTTTTTTCATCTTTTTTAAGTTTTTTATTTTTTTTTTTTTTTTTTTTTTTTTAATTTTTTTATTATCATAGATTCTACTATCGCGAGATGGAAATGTTATAAAAAATTTACGACAATTCGATCGTTAAGAAAGATTCAAAATTGTCCTTGGGGTGTCACTGAAGAAGAGAAATTACGATCGACGAAAACACGAAAGGATTCTTCGATCGACATGATCCCCGTATTTTGAATGATTTCGCATGTATATTTATATGAGTATATATATATATATGTGTGTGTATATATATATATTTATATATATATCTATATATGTATATCATATATATTATATAAATATCTATATATCTATATATCTATATGTATAATATTACGTATTATATACACAATATATATACATATATATATATATATATCTATATATGTATATCATATATATTATATATATATATATATCTATATATCTATATGTATATTACGTATTATATACACAATATATATATATATATTTACATATATAATATATATGAAACTTATAATTTTGACTATACATTCACACGTTTTAATCACCATTCGCTAAACTTCAAACCTCAGCTTTTTAAAGACATATTTTTAATATCTAACATTCATTTTTTTAAAAACATTTCTGTATACATCTATTTAATATCTCAACAAATTCATCGTGATGATTCTCGTCGTTATAATCGTCTCTTTTTTTTTTCTTTTTTCTTTTTTTTCTTTTTTCTATTATTATATCTATGTATATTTGTATATTTATTTATACGAATAATTTTTTTCGACATCTCTTCGCCACGTTCATTTGTTTTTTGCATTAGCAAAAATTCCTTCTATCACTATTCTGAAAGATCTTCCTCCACTTCTCTCGTCAAATTTGCATCTTTCGTAGATCCTTATCGTTAACTTTGATGTTGTTGTTAACAAAGAAAAACAAAAAAAAAAAAACATGAGAAAAAAAAGATTTTTTTCGAAAGACGCCTCGATAATGTTGAAAAAATGATGAGACTATTCGCGATATAATACGGATATAGTACGAGTTTTTTTTTTTTTTTTTTTTTTTTTATAATTTTTCTTTTTTGTTGCGTTTTTCGAAATATATCCATTTGTTCGTACTTTTACGAAGAACTATTTCTATATCTTCGATTCGCGCAAGAATCGTAATACTCGTCAATTCTTTTCGATCTGGTATCATCAGATTCTCTCTCTCTCTCTCTCTCTCTCTCTCTCTCTCTCTCTCTCTCTCCCTCTCCCTCTTTCTCTCTCTATCTGTCTTTTTCTTTCTCTCTCTAATTTCTAGTTTCTATTTCAGAGAGATCAATTGAATATTTTACATCGTTTGGGTATGCAATATATATACATATACCTGTATATACAAAGTGTTCCAACGAAAAATGTCCGACAGAATTATTATTATCAGATCTAATGATTTTGTTCGAAAAATTCCAAGAGAGATCAATTTTATTTTCGAAAGGGGGAAAGGTAATTGTCATTAATTCGCCCACTTTGAGTTAATCTCTTCGGGGGAAAGGAGAAATGACAAAGCACTCAACAATTTTTACTGGTAACTGGGTATTAAGTGCTATATCATTAGGTAGGTCTTTTGATTCTCTTTGCAATGATGTTACTTTTTTCTTTTCTTTGTTGATTCTGTTGAACTGAAACAGTTAGCGAGAAAAGACTCTATTTACTGCATGGAGATCTTCTGTAAACATTCTGTTAATAAAATAAATATTCAATAAAATTCAATTGTTTATCTAAAACTTCGATAGTGCATTTTCTCAAAAGTCATTGATTCAAAATTAAAAAAAAAAAAAAAAAAAAAAAAAAAATACCATTGTAAAGAAAATTAAGAGCTTAGAAATGATATACCATTTGATTCCTATTGAGATTTAAGATTTTGGAGGGGTTTGCCATGGTCCTTAAGGGGTTAGTGGATAAAGGAATTTATGACACGGATTTATCCCCTTCGAAAAGAAAATTGACCCGTCACGGAGTCCCTCGAAAAAGTCACTACTAGATCTCGTAATAATCCTGATGGACACTTTCCATTGGAACACTCCGTGTGTATTTGAGTATATATATTTATATATATACATATATGTATGTGTATATATATATATATATTTTTTTTTTCTTTATCATCAACGAGGGAAACATAATATTCACCGAGCGTATTTAAGGAATATCTCATTCCTAATTTTCTTCCATCCGAGAAAAACTAGAGAGATTCGCATGGTGATGAAATTATGCTAGCAATATCTGCGTCAACGTCCGACGTAGATGAAGTACTACGTACTGTGGAACATAATTGATCGTGACGTCACTAAACTGGCATAATTTTTGATGGAACATAACCCAAGCATATATATATATGTATATATGTATATATGTATATATATACCAGACTTTTTCACGAGTTCAACACGGAAACAAAGTTTTATATTGTGCATTAATCCCTCTTCCAGTTTCGAATTCCTTCAATTTTTTGAATCTCATAACTTTTAATGGAACCAAAAAAAAATGATTCGATTACATATATAAGTATTTAGTTTAGCGTTATTCAATACGCTGCTTGCGATAATAATAATAATAATAATAATAATAATAATAATAATAATAATAATAATATAATAATAATAATAATAATAATAACAATTATCCATCGATTTATCCATTTCTTAATAATTTCAAAATTTGTAGTTTATAGAATATTAATTGACGTTAAAAGAGCGATTCTTTCTTCGAAATATCATTATATCATCGGAATATATCATTTTCCGTTAAATTTTCACGAGCTAACGAATATGACATACGTATAAACACTTTATTTTTTTCTAAACTTCACTCTATCGTAGGTACGTATGCGTATTTACGATCATTATAACACATGCTTTTTCCAAGAGAGGAGGCATAGATATAATTCATCTTACAATATTTATATAAATATTATTTTTATATATATAAAAACACAACACGATGCGTAAAATTTTTTTTTTCCTTTCTTTCGTTTTGTTCTATTTTTTTTGTGGTTTTTTTTTAAATATTTTTTTTATTTTTTGAACGTGTATCGATCAAATCTTTCTCTCTCTCTCTCTCTCTCTCTCTCTCTCTTTCTATTTTCTTTAAATTTCTTTTCTCATTCATCGTCGTTTTACGATTGATTATATAATATAAAAAACATTCTCGATACCAATCGATTCAAGCAAACGTACGTAACGAGAGAAAAAAAATGCAAAAAAGGAGGCTGTAACAATTCTGTATTTTAGAAATCGTGCAAGGACACGTCGTAGCACGATTATTTTGTCACCGCGTATAAACGCATTATTAGAAGTGCACTTTCAGGATAATATGTTAGACATACGTTTTTAATTATTTACAAAATATTCCCACGTACGCTTTTCTTTCTACTTATATCTTTTTTCTCTTTCTTCTTTTTTTCTTTCTTCATGTCTTTTTCTTTTCTATTCTCTTTCTTTCTCTCTCTCTCTCTCTCTCTCTCTCTTTCTCTTTCTTTTTCTCTCTTTCTTAAATTTTTATATTTTTATGTATACAAAGCGAATGTCACATCCTCAACGTAAAAGACAGTGAAGTTAGTAAGTACGAGTATTCCGTAGATATATCTTTTCTTTTTCTTTTTTCTTTGTTTTTCCTTTAATAAATATACCTTACACGTACGTAAGTGTATCTCCTTGTGCGAGTTTATAGTATTTATATTTTATGATCTTTTTTCTTTTTTCTTTCTTTCTTTTTTTCTTTTTTTTTTCTTTTTTTTTTTTTTTTTTTTTTTTTCTTTCAATTGCTATACCAACGCTCATTTTCGAGGCAATCTCCTTGTAACTTTCGTTAACAATAAGATGAACGTGCTGTGAGAATAATTTCGAAACGCTAAGATGAAATTCGAATCTCAACTTATCGTCCCTTTTACGTTTTTTCATATATATATATATATATATATATATATATATATATATATATATATATATATATATATATATATATATATATATATATATATATATATATATATATATATATATATATATATTTGCGATTATAATTAGCACATGTTTGCACGAACTTCAATCAAATTTGTCTAATCGATAAATCTTTAATACCTTTGTAAACTATTAAAGAGTGATTAACCGTAAAAATTAACATTGTTGTTAGTTTACATGAGATAACAAATCGGATTTTCTTTCTTTTTTTTTCTTTTTTTCCTTTTTTTTTTTTTTTTTTTTATTAATTTTTTTGTTTCATTCTTCTTTCTCCCTCCTGCTTTTCCTCGTTCTTATTCAAGCAAGAATCAGATAGACTGTAATATTCGTGGATTCTATCTTATTCAATCCAATAAATTGACATTATCCCTCGTATACACGCGAAATAGTTTCATTTAATTCTACGATGATGATTCTCGAGAATGATAAAAAAATGTTCGCTCAAGGTTCCGACAAATTATAAAGACTAATGATAATAATTATGACTTATTATGTCGATCGATCGATTAATCCTTTCCACGGAGAAACAAGCGCGTATGCATATGTGAATTTGTATTGTATGTAGATCAGTATATATATACGTTATTTTTCATTAATCGTGCCGCGCCCGATGAGTAAGATTAATTTACTCATATTCACATTAATGGTAGGCGCGATAATAATAATAATAATAATAATAATAATAATGTTAATAATAATAATAATAATAATAATAATAATAATAATAATAATAATAATAATAATAACACAAATAATAACACAAATAATAACAACAACAACAACAACAACAACAATAATAATAATAATAATCATCATCATTATCATCATCATCATCATCATCATCATCATAATTACAGTAATAATAATAATGATTATGACGATGACAATTATCAGTGTACACAATCACATTTCTTTTTCGATTGAGAATTTTGTATTTCGAAGACGTAGGTATGTATGTATCATACTATCGATATCATGTTTCTTGCATTTGACTTGAGAAGGCTTCGTATTAAAAACAGTTTGATGGTAATTGACTCGAAATACATAGAGAAAATTGAATAAAGATCATTTCTCGTTCGCCGTTGTGTAATAAATATTTCGTTTTCTTTTTGTCAAATTAATTCATCGACGTATTAGCAGGTATAAAATAAATTGCGGACATTTTCTTATTGATCCTTTAGAACTCTGAAAAATCAAAATAAGTAAGTATAGAAGAACCATCCACTACTTTTCATTTAACTCGAGGCCGAATGTATGATATTAAAAATTTTCGAAGAGTTATTTCAATTGTATATTATTTTTTTTGACAATTTTCAATTGAAATAGATGATGTAATTTTTTCTCTTCAGTTTCTACTTACGATTGACGATTAACAAGTTGACTTTAATAAACGATGGACAATATAGATATAAGCAGTTTGTTTCAATTAGGGATGAAATACTTTTCGAATCGTTTCCCGATGTTTATTTTGTATGAATACGGCACTGATAAATTTTTATAAAAGAGCATGATAACAATTATGCTTTGTTCTAAAGAAACAGAGCATAGTTCTCCTACGATAATTTCTTTATTTTTTAGAGTTCCATGACTCAACAAGTATATTCTATACGTTGATGAATCAATGACGAACGTTCTTTAAAGGGACTTTGTCGAAAGTATTCGCCATAAATCGTGTGCTAAATCGAGGCTATTAAATATCTAATAGTAATAATAAAGAAAAAAAATGTGAAGATAGCATCAAGAACGTAACACAAAGCATTAATCGTGAAAAAAAAAGTGTAGATTGTTTTTCCTCCACGAGGAAGTTTTCAATCGAAAAAAAATGCAGAGACGAGTATTTTTTCTTCTTTTTTTTGTGTTCTTTTTTTTTCTTTTTTTTTTTTTTTTTTTTTTTTGACGTGACCGGAAATGTCGAGAAGAATATAAATAACAGATCCCACTCTCCTTTTTGGTGACAATACACCTTGTTTTTTCGTTTTTAACACTTAAAAGGGACCAGACGTATTATTCAAATGGCCGAGTTGAACATTTAATTGCGTTAAATGCGAATGTATCCGACACATTTCACGTGTGCGCAATATGGATAATTTACAACGGCCGATTATTGCACAATTCGGCGTACAGCTAAGGGATTCTGTAAAATAAAATGTTTCGATTGAGCGATACTTATATGTATTGACATTATTACAGTCCAATCTCTCGAAAATTTCATAAAAGTGATGGGAGGGGACCTTTACGTTGACAACATTTTATATTTCAGAATTTCCTTGACTGTAAACGCATATAGATAATATTTAAGAATAATGACGATACGAAGGAGAAAAGAAAAGAAAAAAAATGAGACATCTTAAATTTACATTACTATACAGAAGCACGAGAGATATCATCTCTCTTTTGGAGAACGCGGTCCTTCGAGTGTTATAAAACGAGGAGAGATAGATATTTTTTTTTTTTTTACAGATACTCGACAATGTCGCACTTTATCGATATGTTCGGACAACTCGCTATGCTAGCACCGTATCCACTCCTCGCATTACTTTTATGTCTCTCGGTGAGGAGCTTCTGAAATATCGGCAGTAATATCGCCCGGTCCAAGAGTTCGCCGTCAGAGGCAGCACTATATATTTCCCCACCACTCGACGTTACGCCAGGCCCAGCTCTCGAACCAACACGGGTTCCACCTCCACCACGGCTCACACCACCTGATCCGAGGATACCTTCGCCACTTCCACCAACATCCCCAGCGCGTGGATTACCACTCGCATATTTGCTGTTGTGAATCGTCGCTACATTTGGAGTGCTCTGAACGTATTCCAAGCGAGCCTGCTGATGACGCAATTTCGATTCGGTGTGTCTGCATTCACGAATCTTCCGCGAGGCAGCAGCCCGATGAGGACACTCGGAGATTGAATGACCACCGCCGCTTCGACCACGTAAACATTTCTCTCGCGATCTCTCCGAAACCGAGCGTTGAATGATCGCTGAAGCTAACTCCTCACATCTTTCTGTTAAAAGGAAATACGAGTGAGTAGAGCTAGAATGAACGTGATATATGCCATTTCAGAGATTGACTTTGTTCAGCGCTTTAGCTGGAATTGTTAACGGTCTGAACTTTTAATTGTTTAAGGAAAAATAATTAAAGAATAATGATTGATCTGCTCGTTAACAATAGTCGCTTTTAGATTAAAACTGCGATGGATTGATCGATGATAGATCGTTTGATAAATCGAATCTTTTATTAATCATGATATTTCTGTCGAATGCGATTGTTCTTTTTTCTTTGTTCTTTTGTTTTTTTTTCTTCATATAATTAGACCCATATTTTAGGTATGATTTAAACTATAGGTGGGCAACTAGCGATCTGCGGGCCGCATTTAGCCGTTGTCCTTACTTGTCTGCTAAGATGAGAGAAAATGATTCTCACTATTTGACACTGTCGTGCCTAGTGAGCTGCATGATTTTCGTAACTTAATCTAGTAAACTTAAATATTGGGGGAACAGATTGATTGATGATAAGTATTGTGCGGCCCACGGTGAAAAAGAAGTTGCCCATCTACGATCTAATGTAAGAATGATAAGATGTAGAAAAGACATTGACCAGTATCAGAGTAGCTGGCGTTGACCATGGCGGGCACGCTCGGTGAACTGGCGTTGTGAGAATCATGATGCTTACGATGACGTCGCGGCGCTGGTGGGGTCTCGGCAGAGCCATTAATCATTGCGTGACTGTGTCCACGTCCACCATGCTTTTCGCATCTGTAGCCGGTAACTAAACTACGCCGGTGGCCACATTCCCCGATCACGTATGCTTTGTCGAAAGAAGTTTGAATGTCGTCCTTACCACTCGACTTGGATACGTTCTCCGTCGAAATGTAGCTGATCGAATTAATTGGAACGCTTGTTCTGCGACATTCTGATAGTTCGTGATGAGAATGTGCCAAGCTATCATTCCTCACAGATGATCTTCTTTTTAAAGACTGATGGGATGGTACGTTCACAAATCCTGTGTTAAAATTGCAATTCAAACACACAATTCAATTAGGTATATTGATTAACAGGAAACATATGTGAAGTATTTACTATCGATTTTGATAATATCTTACGGATTGATAGAGTAAATAAAAATATAAGATAAGTGTTCTTTTCTTATCGGTGGTAATTTAATTTTTAAGAAGTGAAAATGTTCTTCAAAATTGGGATCTTTTTTTTTAATAACTTATCTCGTAAAGTAATGGACATAGAGAAAAAATAGTTAACTATAAAGTTATTTACTTTCTTGATCTGCAGGGATTTTTATTCTAACGATATATTACGATATGGATATAGAAAATTGTTTCATTATTTTTTAATATAATTCCTAGCGAAATTGACACACTTGTCGTGCCACTGATAAAAGTTTAAGGAATCTTTGTTCGTAAATTGCGTGCCCTGTTTACGGATGAATTTGCATAAGGCAGCTTCAACTTTCGCATTGCTGATGAAACGCTCTCTTCTCAGTGTTTTCTACAAAGCAGGAAGGAAGAAGTGGTCCATGCATTCCTAACCGATAGTAACAAGATTGTTGTGGGGTTTCGCATTATTGTCCAGTAGGAGGATTCTTGATGTTAGGAAGGATAAGGTTGATCTTAACACCAATGTAGAAGTTAAAGCTTTACGTACGCAAATTCGTCCGTAAACATAGTTTACGAAGAGGAATTCTTGTGAAGTGGTAGTTTACAAGAGCATCAATGTCAATGGGAACTATGTCGAAAAATAATGGAATAATCTCTCTTTCTTTGTCTACATTACGTGTCATATCTCTAGAATGAAAATTTGTATAAATGGCAGAACAAAGAAAACTTATTTTCCATCTAATTTCCGTATACTTGAAAAATTCTTACATCTCGAAAAAATTCTTTTCAATCTATAATATTTAAATCCTTGCTCAATCTATATATTTATAATTACATAAAACTAACCAGAGTGACGATGTTTCGGTGGAACAAATTGTAATGGCGGAGGAAGAATATGCTCAGAGTATCCTTGATCATGTAATTCACTGAAAGAGACATTTTTGGAAGGTGGTGGTGTTGGCAGTCTCGCTCTCTCCTCATCCTTTTTCATAATGATTTTAGCATCTCGGGGAATAGCAGTTTCCTCGAGAACAATTGAATCAGTTTCCTCGACTACCTCTGGTACGAAGTCGACGTTCATTTTACCCTCCGAACGTGGTTCCGGACTCCTTTCAAGCAATGGCTCGCTATCTTGATTTTCGTCGCAAACATGACTTTTCCTACGAGCGGTATCCTCACCGGTAGTTTGCTTCAATGCCGACGGAAGGATCAAGGGTGAGCGTTCGTTATCGACCGCGATGGATGGTACCTTCCCAAAAGTCGTCTTCTTTCTGAAAAATGCATCACTCGACTATTTTAGGGTTGATGATGATTCCGGTTTGCCGACTATATTGAACTCACTTATTCTTTTTCATTATTATTGTTATTATTATTATTATTATTATTATTATTATTATTACTATTATTATTACATAATATAATTTATAATTATAATTGAGATCATTGATGAAAAATGGGCACATAGTGTTTATGAAATTTTTTGTTGACTTTTTTCAATTTAATTTTGTATGTTTTATTTAAACAATATATAAAAATGTTGTAAACTTAATAAGTAATTATATTTAATTAAAGGAGTAAAGAAAAAGATTACTTTTTTACGATTTTATTCCATTTATCGAAAAAGAGCATATGAAATAATTTTTTAAAACTCATAAAAAAGAAAAAAACAAATATTATCTTTAAATCATAATTTTTATATATAGAACGTTTGAAGGACATGTTAATGTACCTTTGAAAAAAAAAAAAAAATAAATTGTTTTTAATTGCATTACTTTTCATTAAATAATAATTACTTTAATGAAAACTTTGAGCTCGATTTACTCGAGATAAGATTTCTACGTATATGTCCCCTTTTTTCATCAATGGCCTCAATTATTTTATTAGTATAATAATTAAATAAATTATTATCATTATTATTATTATCATCATCATCATCATCATCATCATCATCATCATTATTATTATTATTATTGTTATTATTAACACACTTAATTATGATTATAACGAACGTGAGACTCCGATTTAAAAATACCTTTAAAAAAGAATATTTTAAAAGAGAAATCGTTTTGCCATGCCGCGAAGTAACTTATCTATCCACGCGGAAACTTAATCAATGTGCTTATTTTCTTATCGCTTTTGACTCGACGAAGCGAGTTGGAGGAGACGAGAGGTTGGATAGAGATGATGATGAAAAGAGAAGGGGAATGCTAGGTGGATATTAAATGAGAATTTCTTTGGCGAGAGTAAAATTACGAAAAGTTACGAAAAGTAGATTAAATCTCGATTTCGCGTGTCACGGCAGTAATTATCTTCTTACCAAGAAAGACGATGAGACTGTTCTTTAATTAAAAATCTTTTGCTTATTTGTCTTGGAATATTTCAAAGTACAATATTTTTTTCGAATTTTAATACGTTACGTACTTTGCGGCCTGCTCGACGACACTCGCGTTCACATAGTCCCCTTCCGCTTGGGATACCGTAGTAGAAGTTAAACTGCACATGGACATCGAAATATCGGTTGTTTCCGTGGTTAAAGATGGACCTTAAAAAGAATGAAATAAACGAGTTCAAATGTGTTAAAAATTCCTCCCTTGTACATATGTATTCTTCATGTAATTCTCATCGAAATGCAAAAATATTAGCCGTCTTTAATGGCGTTCTCGTTTCGAATCTACAATATTTTATGTCCGTCATATTGTGCAATTTTACGTGACAAGAGACACATCATTGTGTTTATTATTCAACTCTGGATGCAAATATAATATATAGGATCATATGTCAATTGTAAATATCGCTTTATATTCTGAACTCTTTTTTTCTACTCATTCACGAATTATAGCCTCAAACGAAATTCTTTTCTAAGAAGCAAGCAAACATTCCTCGATAATTCTCGATTAATTAGGTTACGTGTGAGTTCTTAGCGATACTTTTGATATGAGAGTTAAAGATGCACATTTCGAATTTTGATCATTCATCGCAACTACCAAAGTATAATCGTAAAAGTATGATCGACTTCGATACTTTATTTTGAAAAAAATATTTCCTTTCTTTTTCTGTATTCTGTTTCGTTATTATTATTGTTTGTGTAAGTGTGTGTGTATGTGTGCGCGTGTTATAATAATAATAATTATTATTATTACTATTATTTTCGAATATCAGCTTTAAGCGATCGTACTTCTACGACTGTAATTACGAATTGTCTCTACACATGCAAATTGGATTTAACTAGCAAATACTAAATTCGTGAATTTCAGTTACGGATGTATCGTCTGCGTTTGCAACAATCGTTGTCGGTATGCTGGCTGAACGGAAGAACTTTTTCGAATGGGAAAAAAACTACTGAAAAACTAAATGAAAGAACTTTTCTTCAAACAATGAATACAGGATGTGCGACGTATGAAACTGATGTAAAAAAACGAAAAATCGTGCGTTTACTGGCGCAAAACATGTTTCTAAAAACATTGCGTGCATATTCCGTGGCGTGAAAATGTAACTTGAAAGTAAATATATAACAGGTATATGTCCCTTAAAAAATACAAATTTATAGGTACAAATACAAAAATTTCAGAAATATGATGAAGATAATTTTGCAGTAGATAATTTTTTTTTACTACGATATGGAAGAAATTCTAAAGTCATTAGTATAATATATAAATATATTGACGCTTAGCTTAGAAGCAATAAAGAAAAGCAGATTTGCTAATCAATTACATCACTTTCTTTTTTTTTTCTCTTCCGGACTAGGCCGAATACGACGAACAACTGACCTTTATGATTCTGAATGCCATGCCTCTGGATAGTGGGCTCTAACATACAGAGTGTGATAATTAAGTTAAATTGTTCGGTGCAAGATAGCCTTTCGCGGTGAAATGATTTTGCGCAACATATGTATCTATCTTTATTAATTTAATTTTTATCATTTTTGTCTACGTAATCATTGGTTTATTAGGTACTAATTATAACGTCGATATGTACGAGAATACGTTATATTTATAATATAAAAAATTCCATGATAAAAGCCGTTTGATGATATTTAGCTTGGATGCAACCGGGAAGATATACATCAACGTATCAAAATAATTATTAAGCAATTTGATTACCTTCTTTTTTTATGATTCCCTCTTGCCTTGGAACGGTTAGCCTGTCCATGACTTCCTGAGTGTCCGCTACTCCATCCTCGCCAAGTCTTCTTAAGAACATCTGACGTAATAAGATTAAAAAAGAGATTATATTATTATGTATTATAAGAAGAAGATATGATCAAGAAGAAGATATCACAGATGAATAATCGTAGTTCAAAGAATCTTAACTTACTTGAAGTTCGCTATCCTTTTCCAAAAGCTGTTTGCGAAACTTTTGATTAGCCGTCATCGCTTCCTTCAATCGTTCCTCTAACTCGCTCACGGTAGAATCTCTTCTAGTTTTGGACACCGGTTTTAAGGTTGGTCTCATTCGTTTGTCGATTGCACCCTGCGGATTTCTTCGCAACTCTATCAGCTAGGTGTCATGAAGGAAAAGCCCCGTTGAGAATCAAACTCATTGGCAATAGAGAGAAACTGTCGAACTGGCATCAACAAAAAAAAAAAAGAAAAAAAGAAAAAAGAGAAAGGGGGAGGAGAGAGAGAGAGAGAGAGAGAGAGAGAAACAAAAAAGAAGACAGAATGCAATAAAAGAGAGTTACCTTAGGCACGAACACAAGACAGAGCGTGGCCGTACTGCAGAATATGATGAAGACGGCGAGCATGATGAACATGGCGTCTTGCTTGTCGGCAAGGACGAAACTTATGGCAGCACCGGTGACGCACATTATCACGACATTGTAAACGCTCATGCCGACATATTTGCTGTCGTTTAAAGCTGGTATACTGACGTGTCGTGTCTCCCACGCGAGAAATGCACCGAAAATCTGAGAAAAAAATATCTTTTTAGTGATATTTTCTCGTGTTTTTCTCTTTTTTCTTTCTTTCTATTTTATTTTTCTTTTTTTATACACACACACATATATATATATATATACTTATGAAAGATCATTACTAGACTAACCATCAGGAGGCCCTTATAAGCATATATAGAACCCATGTAAACGGTCATCCGGTTGCTCTGGCAATACTCGTTTTCAGGTATGATGATGATGTCCTCGCTCGAGGGATGCGGCTGTGAGAATAAGGAAACAGAGAGGAACATTTTATAAGCATGATCGTTGAGTGTAATCGGCCGAGCGGGAGCGTTTCAAGTATCCGAGGGCTCTGTGCCAAAACGATAGGTATATCCACTTGTCAGAATGAGAGAAAGAGAGAGATCGAAAGAGACCAAGGGAGACCGAACGAGTAAGTGAGTGAGAGAGAGAGAGAGAGAGAGAGAGAGAGAGAGAGAGAGAGAGAGAGAGAGAGAGAGAATGTGTATATATGTGAGAGTGAGAGTTAAAGAGAGGTAAGTGCTTCGAGAATTCTTTCCGATAACAACGTTGAGTGTGGTCCAGAGTGCCGATTGTTGGCAAAACGCTACCGATGATTGCTTTTGCTTTTTTGCCTTCTCTACCTATTTTCTACTACCACAACTACTCTAGCTCTCTCTTATACTCCCACCACCACACACATCTTCTCTTGCTTTTTCATTATCTCGTTCAAACGTGAAACTACCCTTTTTCTATAACTATTCTTGAAAGAGAAATAGAATGAATGAACTGTACCTTTTCAGGATCTTTTTTCTTCTTTCTTTCTTTCTTTCTATTTTTTCTTTATTTTTTATTATTATTTTTTTATTATTATTAGATATATATATCTACTTCGTCAAACGAAAATGTTTTTTCTTTCGTTTATTAAATTTCTTTTTCATTTCATACCTCGAAGGGAAATTGCGAGATATCTACTAGCACGTTAAAATTTTATTACTTACGTTATCGTTCATATCGTTATATTATTTCCCACCGTACGTAATATAATATTTAATGCGTGTGCGTTTCTATGTATGTCTGTATGTATGTTCAATACAATTATTTAAAATATTAATATTAATAATAATAATAATAATAATAATAATAATATTAATAATATTACTGGTAATGTATAACGTAATATGTAATCTAATATCTATTATAACTCGTTTAACAACATATGCAACGATTTTAATTTAAATCTTATAAATTAAACAAATTACATTGGAATAGATTAATATCGATATTTTCGATGTCATTAGGGATCTTCGACAAATATTTTCCTTTCTTTCGTTTTATTGGTAAAGGATGGAAATCAAAAACAAATAATGACATAAAATGTATACATAAATTTACATATGTACGAGTGAATATATTTATCATTTATTATTAATTCATTAAAATAATACGTACAACGAAATGACTATCGCGATAGGAAATATGCATGGTGGCTTGCCTGGTGGAGTTGCGCGAACATCAATGGAATGTTCTCCTCGAGCGCACAGTCGATATTCCGAAGAGCTTTGCCCGGCGTGTGAGCCTGAGCAAACGAGATTTCCGAGGAGCACACCCTCCGAATCGTTCAAAGACGTTGCTCGATTCACCTTTCTATATTTTTTTTTTTTATTTCTTTTCTTTTTTCTCTTCATTTTCTTTTTTTTCTTTTTTTCCTTTTTTTTCCTTTTTTCCCTTTTTTCCCCATTTTTTTTTATTTGTACTCTTCCTACATCCCTTTTTCCCCACAATGTAACTTACTTGTACTCGTTCGTTCGCGCAGGAAAAATATAGCAGGAGTATTTGACGATCAAAAGGTAAAAAGTATAATTAAACGTGAATAGAAATACTCGAATATTCATTATTCCGTAAAATAATATATTTTTTTCCTCTTTCTCATTCACTATTTCTCTTTCTCTTTCTCTTTCTTTTTTTTAGCTTCATTAGAATAAGCAGAAAAAATAATAATTAACGAAATCCGATATAATTTTATATCTTCGTTTTGTTTGAAACGAAAAGCAAAAAACATATTACAATTTTTTTTATTTTTTATTACAATACCTACGTAGGATTATTATGATAATCGAGAAACAAAAAATAATAATAATAAAAAAAAAAAAAAAAAAGAAAAAAAAAGAAAAAAGAAAAAAGAAGAAAAAAGAAGAGAAATTCAGTTCGAATAAAAAGTTTGCTCTTTGTTCGAAAACAAGAAATGGTAATGAAACTTACGTAAGGTTCCATCTGCTTAGTTTCTCGATAAAATGGATCGGCGATCTGCCACGTAGTCATGATCCCGAGGTCGATAACCAGAAGTACGCCAACCACCATGAAAAGCTGATAATCTTTTATAACCTAGATAAAACGGAAATTGTTCGTATGAAAAGAGGATAAAGGAAGACGATAATCGCGAGAGAATTCTTTTTAACCCAGACGTAACCCAGACGCAAACTAGTTCATAATAAAGAATCAGTTACTTTAAAACGAAAGGACATTTTTCTGGATAGAAAACGCGTTAAAATGAAATGGAAAGAAAAATTCTTTTTAAATGAAAAATACAAAATAAAAAAAGAGTTTTTTTTCTTCTGAAAGTGCGAAAATGGTGTTAATGTAACTGGCTGGTATTAAAATTGCATGATCAGTGTCGACGAAAAAATTAGACAGAAAAAATTAGACAGAAAAAATTAGACAGAAAAAATTAGACGAGAATCAACGACAAATTCGGTGATTCAAATTTTTCAGTATCATGCACAAATTGTCGAACAGAATGGATATTGATCTAAAAAAAATATTTCAAGAATTTTGGATTAAAGGAAAAAGAAAAAAAAAAAACAAAAAAAAGAAAAAATTGTTCAATATTGTAATCGCTGACTAAAGTCGCTTTAAAACTTCGGAATGTAGCTCTGGAGAATCTACAAGAAACTTGCTTGCTATACAAACGCTTGTCATTTGACTCAATATATCTCACTTGTCGCCGACGATTGGTCGGCACAGTGTGCATGTAGCCTTATTAGTTGTACAAGATACATATGTATATATATATATATATATATATATATATATATATATATATATATATAATTACGTATAATTACGTTGAATATATATATATATACATATATATATATATTCAACGTAATTATACGTAGATAGGACATACCTTGTTCGTTAAGAATACTCACCTTTTTGTTTAACTTCACGTCCGTGAATATCGAATGCACTCGCCAAGTTTTCGAGAACATAGAGCCGAAAGCTAATGAAAATCCAGCCATCAGAAGCCATGCCCTTGCGGTACAAATATACGGGAACGCAGTCACGCTCGACAATTGTGAGTCTAACCCAAGAAAAATGACGCTGCTGTATGTAAACATGCACCCAATGATGATGAGATTGTTCAGATGTGGCGATGACATTTTTATATATCTGAAAAGGAGACAATAAATGGAATCATTTATATATTACCATTATATCTTCCTTTTAATTTTGAACGGACTTAACAATAACTTGAAAGGTAATAATAATAATTTTCGTCTATCGGACGATAATTTTTTTCTTTATTTATTCTTTTTTATTTCATTTTTTTCTTTTTTTTTTCTGTTTCTTTTTTTCTTTATTTTTTTTTTCAAACTCGGTCAGTTTCATTCTCCTTTCTCCATTTCTAAAAAATCCATTGCATCGCTTTGCCCTCTAGACTGCGCTTAAAACTTTTAATTAACTCCACCGAATAATTAACCGCATTTTTTCCCACGCTCTTGTCAGATGCATCCACTGCGAACGATGCTATGTTTCAAACCGGGCGATCCGTTGCCATCTTTATCTCTTCAGCACTTTCTTTCTTTTTTTTTTCTTTTCCTTTTCTTTTATTTTCTTTTCCATTTTTTTTTTATCTCTTCGAAATGAAATCTCGGAATTTTAATTAAAACAAAATCATAAAAGATCGTATCTTGGACGAGGTGGCGCAGACATTGGCTGCCAATACTGTCTCTACTATTTACAATCTCGATTTTTCTACGAAATCTCGTATGCGGAAGAAGAGATTTTCGATTCGTCTCGGTGTTAGCTGAAAATCTCACGAAAGAGGTCATCGAGAGGTTAACCGTGTGGAAGTAACGACGATCGAAGCCGTCGAAAACTTTTAACTTGCTTCTCTCGCCAAGGAACATCGATGGCTCCCTTTATCGTTTTTCACTTTTAGCGCCTAACACGGTGGAACAGGATGAAAAAAAGGAAAAAAAACAAAAAAAAAAAAAAAAGAAAGAAAAGTATGGAACAGGCAAAATTTCTATATACGGAGTTGTTATGTTATCAGAAACGTGTATGTATAGATTGGTATATTATAAATAATCAAAAGAATTTTCTCAAAAAAAAAAAAGAAAAGGAAATGAATAAATAAAAAAATATTAAAAAAGAAAGATTTGTTAAAAAAGAAAAAAGAAGATAGAAGAAGAAGAAGAAGAAGAAGAAGAAGAAAAGAAAAAAATTTTTAATTTGATTGTTACCTTTGATTTCTATATCTTATGTTTATGGCAAGGAAAACGACCGCCATAACGATGCCAACACTTGCAGCGGCCGCCAGTACCGCGTAGATCGTAATATTCACGGTGGAATGTTCAATGATGTGAACGGTTCGATCCTTTGGAGGTGACTTGCCTCTCCAAACTAAAGAGTCTCCTTTACTCAGATCTAAAGTGTCTGTCACTCCGTCATATTCGCCAACTTTAACCTCGGTACCGCCTGGAATCAATAATTGTCATTGCTCCAAAATAACAGGGAATAATAATTCTCTTTGTTTATCCTCTTTAAATTTACTTATTATATATATATATATATATATATATATATATATATATATTTACTTATTTATATTAAATATTGGGTATATATTATTGATCACAAATTTCACAAATAAAATTATATGAAAAGCAATCGAGAAATTCTGAAAGTTTTTTCTTCTTTTTTATTTATTTATTTTTTTTGTTGATTTAAATACGACATAATATAAAACTGAAAAGTTTTACAAACTTATATTGCTAGCTTGAATTATTTTTTTACTCTTATGAATTTACAATACGACATTCGATTCCGATTCTCGTGTCCTCGTTAAACTGACCCCATTAAATCAGATGCGACGTCGAATAAATATTTGCCAATATCGTTTTCGAGTGCGCTCGGTTAGATTAGAGAAAATGGGTTATGATTCTCGACGTGAAAGCATCACAAGTAGTTTGAAAGTGGCAAAACTCGATATTCGACTTTCCGTCCAGGGCAAAAGATAAAGAAGAGAATCTTCGTGATTGATTATACGATCGGCCGTCGCCGATACTTCATCCAAAGCAATCCCCTCAAACCTCTAACTTCTCTTGATTCACCCTCTTTCTTTCATCTCCCCATTTCACTCAGTCCTCTTTGCATCGTCAAAGAAAGAGAGAAAGAACGTACACGATCAAACGTTAAAACAACATATCTACGGAGGAAAGAAAGAGAGAGAGAGAGAGAGAGAGAGAGAGAGAGAGAAAGCTAACATAGAATCCACAAAGTCGTGATTCATCTTGAAGTTAGCTAAGATTTTATAAAATCCGATTATCACTCTTTCCAACGGGGACAGATTTACCTTATTTCGTGAGTACATTTATGTTCCCGTGAAAAAAGAATAAACACGATATTTTATCGTAACCCCTACAACTTATTACTTCTTCCTCACTCTACTATCAGCTATTCGATTCTCGTATTTTTATAAGGGTGAATTGGTTGTATTCATATTTTCAATAAAATCCGATTAATCTTTATAATCTTTCGTTAATAATTATTTTAAATTATTTATCTGTGATTGGTGATGATTGTTATATTGATAAAAATATATTGTATCTTAGTTTAATTTAACACGGAAATATATTTAAAATAAAAGATACATTTAAAATATATTTATAATATATATATATATATATTTTTCATTTTAACTACTTTACTCTTTGACTTTGTTAAGGTTCAGAGTTTGTAAGTATAACTACTCGTTGTTGGGGGATTGTAAGCTTGTATCGTTGGTTTCTGGTTGTTTCTTATACTTCTCTAGTTACCAAATGTTATATACGTATACATGAGACAAGAAGTTTGAGTTTTTGTTTACAGCATGCAATCTAATAGCTGGAAACCAGGGATACTACTGTTTTACATTACACTCCTTAGAAACTCATAATTTTATAATATAATTTATAACATTTTGCCATAATAAATGGATCACGTATTGTCATATAATGTTAACGTATTGTGAAATGAAATATGTAAGGTTTCATTATATAAAAAAGTGGATTTGATTTCGAAATTTCTTCTCCCATGTTATCCCTCGACCCCCCTCTCAAAAAAAAAAGAAATAAATTGGCATCATATGACGTATCATCCCCTTTCGTATCAATTTACAAATTTATAAAAAATATTTTGTTCGATAGGTTCACTCCCTCCGGAAATATATCAATTTTTCGCGATAAACTGTATACCCTTTATATGGGATATATGTTACATAACATAACGCTTGAATTTTTTCAAGACCCTTCTTATCGTCCTAATTTAGAAGAATTTGTGACACGACAAATATTTAAATAAACTTGATGATTATTTAAAAAAACAAATCTTAATTATAATTTCGAATAGATAAAAAATTGATCATAAATATTCCACACGTTGTCTTTTTTGTTTTCTCTTTTTTTTTCTTTTTCTGTTTTTTTTTTTATTTTTTTTTTTAATGAGACTGCAACTAACTTTTTAACTCCCTTTTGTAACATTTTTTTTTTTTCATATCATATCGCTTTGCCCAAACAATTTTTATCTGGACTATACACATCGTTTTTATTTACACTCATTTCCTTATCTCTTCTTCGATGTCGTACTTCTTTTTTTAATTATAAGAGAAGAAGATTCCTAATCTGGTACAATTTTAATTTTAATAAAGCTTTGTTATCATGTAGAGAATATCGAGTTATTTCTTCTCTTTTTTTTTCCCCTTTATTTAAGTGAAAATAAACTTCGTAGAAGTAAAATAATAGTTTCTAAAAGTCCTGTTGAATTTTGAATTCTTTTTTTTTTTTTTTTGATATACAAGAATAAGAATTATATAAAGAATATTTTTATATAAACTTTAGCAAATCGCGAAATATAATTATTTTAAGTCTGATTATTATATTATTGATAAGATATATGATATAAATGCAATATTTATATGGGAATAACCTAATTGTAAGTTGTACTTCTATATCAATTTTTTTTTTTCCTTTAAAGAAAATTCGATCGAATTAGAACGATTACTATGCAAATTGAGTAAATGAAACAATAACGATGCAAAGAGAGTGTTTCTCTTGTAATTTGAATATAAAAAGTTTTTTTCTATCCTATATAGTTCACAAAGTTGTATCGAAAAAATGAAAAATTCAAAGAAATCTCGACCAAATTTCCGACGAAAAAAATTCCTTCTTACAATATGATCTACATAATGAGAAAGTTTTGTTAAAGGTAGAACTTCCGGGTTAGAAATCTTCAAAATCGTGCTCTTTAGAGATTAATTTGATAATAATAATTTAAAAAGGAACGTCGTTCTTTCTTATTAAAAAAAAAAAAAATATTTTATCGTTTGGTCATAATCGTACATACATCGAATAAATTGAAACGATAGTTAAAGGGATATTTATTAAAAAGAAGAAGAAAGAAAGAAAAAGAAAATAACGAGTATAAGATTTTTTATAAAAATATTTAATAAGATACAAATAGATTTGTTCTACGATTCACCTTTCATTTATTAAAAATTATTTGATATTAACACGTAGATCAGAAAGTATCATTTTTATCGTTCTCTGTATTTTTTTTTTTTTTTTTCTTTTTCCAAATGTTAATTTTCTTAAAATTCTGCAAATTCATTCGGAATAAAGTATATCAGATAAAAGTTTTAATCGGACGAACAATCGTTAAAGAAATTTTAAAGAGAATGAGAACGTAATATACATATATTTCTCGAATGGTACTTGTTATCTCATCATCGATTTATATTCCTTCAATCTATTAAGATAGAACATTTAAGGACAAACTTAATACGTCCTTGATTATGTGAAGAGAGATATCTAAATTAATGGAATATTTCGATCATTATCCTTTCTCCTTTCAAATACACACCAACTGTATTTGGATGTTTCCATCTCTAGTGTGCCGTTAGATACAAATGGAAATTTGGCAACGAAAGAGACGGTTAACTTCGTCTGGATTTAACTTGCATTTTGCGGTAGGAAATCGCGAACTTTTCGTATATCTACTACGTACGACTTGCATAGAACTTTAAATTATATTCGCGAATATTTGCGTGTATACTGTTTCGTATAAACTTGTCATTCAGAATTCATATTATTGTCTTTATCTTTTATTTCATCTTTTCCGAGTTTAACAACTTTTGCTAATTTAACTCCGTTTAAAGGGATGTCGCTTTAATCGAATGAAGCATTTGAAGTGCGATTTAATCTTTTTCGTTTTTTATTTTGGTTTTTTTTATTTAAAAAATTTTTTTTTTTTTTTTTTTTTTTTTTTTTTTCATTTAAACGAAACAATCGACTAGAACGAATGTTTTTTTTTCTTTTTTTTTTTTTTTATCGAAACTGCGGTTTTCTGTGCGGAGATAATTTTTTTAATCTGACATTTCAATCATCGACCTTTTTTTCTTTTTTTTCTTTTTTTTGCTGAAATTCTACCTCCAAATTCCTTATTAGCGATGTCGAAAAATATTCGTGCAAATATCATAGAGAGTAATTTTTTTTCCTAGACAAAGAATTTAAAGAAAATTTTAAATATTTGCAAATGATTCTTCTGTAATACTTCCATTTCTTTATTTTTCTCGACTTTAAAAACTCGACAATAGACGATAAAAAGCGATTCTATCATATTTCTCGATAGGAAAATTGTGTTTTCATTTCTTCTCCATTTTCATGCCAAGATAAACAAGAAATTTCAGATACGTGCACTGCTATTCTCAAGAAATATGTATGTACATTCAATAAATACATACAAATATAAAAACACATAGTCATAGCTATTTTCAAATTAATTTTCTTTCTACGAATGTCATGAACGTATAAAGAATATTTTTTAAACTAATTTTAAAATCTCTATGTTTTCTTATTGATTCCATGCGATCACGAAATAAAAACGATAGACGTATAAGAAAATGAAGCAAATAAAAGAAAAAAAAAAAAAAGAAAAAAAAAAACGAAGTAGACGAAAAAGAAAAAGAAGAAGTAGATAAAAATAAAAAAGAGAGAAAAAAAGAAAAGGAAATGGAAATTTTCGTCTCGGTGAATTCCGATCGACCTGCAAATATTTTCTTTTTTAACCATAGTTGTAAACGTAGTACGAGAGAAGAATGATCGGTAGAGCGCTTCGTAATCAGATTTTCATAAAATTTTGCAAACACGCCTCGCCTACAATGTTAAAGCCAAGCCTGGTCTCTATGCCATACCTTCCTCCCTCTACCCCCTCTTCTCCTTCTCTTTATCCTGTCTTTCTTTATGGCCGCTCGACACCGCTCTAAAAGGCACAGCCCTCTTTAAAAATGAGTCAGCACTTCCGTTAGAAGCGACTAGGTTACAAGGGGGTGCAAAGTGCACCTATCACGCGAGAAGCCCACGAGAGATGTGTAATGTAAATGTTTACGGAATGCCAGCTTGATAGTTTCTTCTTCATTTCTCTTTTCTTTTCTTCTTCATTTTTGTTTTTCTTTTATTTTTTCTTTTTTTAATATTTTACTCTCGATCCTCTTGCGTCCATCATTTTTGCGTAACTTTTACGAAATTCTCGAAATAAATGATATTTCGAATTAAAAAAAATAAAAAAATAAAAAAGTATCTTCGAAAAAAGTAGTTCACATTATTACGATTGTAATTTGTAATTTTTTTTTTTATTGTAATTTTTAATTATCGTGTAAGAGAAATTATCATGTGTAAATGACATTTTTAATTAAAAATTTTACAAATTATTTTCCACAGACGATTGAATTTCTGATTATCTCTATAAATACTAAATATATGTGATAACGTATTTAAATGAAGAAAATTAATTGTACGTGTGTTTTATTTTTACTCTCTTAGCATCATGAAACTCATTGATTTGTACGATCCATTCGTGTGATCCACGATCCATTTTGTTATATATATATATATATATATATAACAAAAATTTTCTTTTATATTTTCGTCTTGAACAAAATTACAGACAGTTAATTGTTTTATTTAATCTAATTGTAAAAAATTATGATATAATAATAATAAAAAAATAAGTAATTATGATAATAATAATAATAATAATAATAATAATAATAATAATAAAAATAATAATAATAATAATAATAATAACAAAAGTTTTGTTGTTTGTTTTTCCTAGCAAGTTTTTGAATACGATCCGATAAAAAGAAAACTATCCATGTCTTTGCACTGAAATATTCAGGTGAAATTCAGCGAGTAAGTTTTTCGAGTATTCTTAAAAAATAACCTTAAGCTATGTGTTTAAATTTTTGTTTTTTCTTTTCTTTTCTGAAGACCAAAGGACGATAGTATCTCTATCGTAGCATACAGTTCTTATGTTTTTCTTACTCCTTTTATTCCTTACTATTTTTCTTTCCTCCATACTTAACTCCTTCCCCTTTAACAAGAGAATCTCATTGGTTCTTTCAGAGCACGCTCTTGGGAAAGAACGGAGATACTCTTGGAAAAATTCTAGGATTTTCTTTAAATAGCCCGTTCATTTTTTGAAATCCCTTTACATGGTTTCCAACGCACTTGTTAAACTGCTTTAAAGAAGTTCTTGTCACGTATCCTCCGTTCTCTCATCACCATTCTCTTCCTTCCTCCCGGCTACCAGGATCAACTCCTCTTAGAATGAAATAACTTACTAAACTGTGTCTATTGAGGTTTTTTGAATGGTTTTATCTTTGTTTATTCTAAAGTATTTTGATATTGTTTACAAAATTGATATTGTTACAAAAAAAAATCGAAACATAAAATATATAGAAACAACATTGAAAATATAAAAACATATCAATAGAAAGTCATTGAATGGATCAAACGATAAGGACGATAAGAAATTGTAAACATTTAACTTTGGTTTACATTCTCTCTTAAGGAAAAGATTGTAAACGAGTTCTTTAGGCTTTTAGATCACATTGTAACGTCACGTTGTAACGATCTTGTTGCGTTATCTATTTATTTTTTTTCTTTTTTTTCATTTACGTTACGTCTTATTTTATTATAATACTACTTAGATAAGATGTATATATGTTTAATAATGTATATATATATATATATATATATATATATATATATATATGTATGTATGTAAAAATATGGAATAGATTTACAGAGATATGATTAAGTGAATATCAATTTATGATGAGTATCAAAAAGAAAGTTAAATCCATTTTTAATGGTAAGTCTTCGGAAATCTTATGTTTGCAAGTAACGATCAAATCTCGAGGGTAACATTAGCCGTAGTTATCCGAAGGGAACGAACCAATGCGTTTCTTCTTCCTTCTTCATAATTAACGATCCAGTTTTCGGAATATATGTTAATCCCATGCGATTACTCGTATTACTGAATTGGCAAGGTTAGCAAAGCTTAGAGTATAAGATTAACGATATAGGTATACCTATAGTTTGTATTTACGTGTTCTATTACGCACGTATGTTGTCGTACGATAAATATATTAGGATGTATCCTTACTGTGTATGTTCTTTCTCTCTCTCTCTCTCTCTCTCTCTCTCGTCTCTCTCTCTCTCTCTATTTTTTTCTCTCCCTTTCTCTCTTCTTTGTTTTATATCTATCTATTTTCTTCAAGAAAGATCTTCATTTATGAACGAGATAAATTAATGTTGGTAAATGTTGGTAAAATGCACGAGTATATTCTCTATGTGTGAGTGGAAGAGTCAAAGAAGAAGAAAGAAAAAATGAATAAAATAACGAGAGAGAGAGAGAGAGGGGGGAAGGGAAGAGAGGGAGGTAGGAAGGGGGAAAGAGAATTTACTCACTTTGAAACTGCTTCAATAAGATGTAAGCTTTCCTCTCGTTGTTATAAAAACGTACGGGCCCCTGTGAACAGAGAAAACATTTTTTCAGTTAATTTAAAACGGTAAGTACGTTTGGCCTGATTGTTTTTTAAATATGACCGCCCAGGGAGTTACTTATAACGTAAACACCATAAAAGAGGATATTCATATTTTAGATACGATAACTTCCTTCTTGATCTTAAAGTTTCTTCACATCGGGATATATATAAATGTCTACGTTCGTAGGAAATATTTTTTGTAATTTTGAAAAATAATTAATTAATAGATTTTCGTTTGAAAATAATTCGTATTAGTTAATCGAATTATTTTCAAATCATATTATTATATTTGAAACAAATTTTAAATCGAATTAATTCCCTACATTTTCTTTTATTTATTTCTTCGTGTAAATTAAAAAAAAAAAAGAAAAAAAAAAGAAAAAAAAAAAAGAAAAAAGAAACCTACATCGTGTAATACGAAATAGTTTGAATTTTTTTTTTATGTCGAAGAGACATTTTATTCATCAATTTGATTGCATTGTTTTTTGTTTTATGTGATTTTAAAAAATTTCCCTTTCTCGAAAAAGTTCTGATCTTTAGTATTGCTAGCGAAAATATTTTTAATTTCATCAACATTACGAAGCTTTTCCTCGAAGATTTTTTGTTATATTTTCTTTTACAGAAAGGAATTTTTCAAACCATCATTGTACGGTTCGTTCATTAACGGTACCTTTATCAATTATGAGCGAGTTTAAACTTGTCTAAAAAAATTAACCTTATTTCTTTGGTCGGCACCATCGTAAAAAATTTCTACGGAAGTTAAAGATCAAAAATTAAAAAGAAAAAAAAAAGAAAGAAAAAAACAAGAAAAAAGAATTGCATGAACTTTAAAGGTAATGGAAGAAAAAAAAAAAAGAAAAAGAAATAGAAAAAAAGAATATGAAACTTTTCAAAACTCAATGAAATCGCTCAGTGAATTAAGTTGCGAATTATAAAGGAAATTTTAAAAATAAATCGACGAATATTAAGAGGATATTTTACTTACAAGTACTTTTCAAGAATAAAAACAATTAGTTCGAAACGTGACTAATATGTATATATATATATATATATGTATGTATATGCGTACATATATTCTTTATATGAGACACATACATATATGAGTCATATAAACATAAGCCTGGAAACTCTTTATTCTCCAGGTTATAAACATTATTTTTATTTACACTAGGCATCTCGTATCGTCGTTTCATAAATCGTCCTTCTATCAACCTTCCATTAAGAAAGAAATAAACAAGAAGCTATTACAGGGATCTATATGGAATTGGAATCAGTCTTTATTCAAGTGCTTAAGAAGAAGGTAGTATTGAACAACATGGCGGCTTATTTCAACATCGAATGGATATATATATATATATATATATATATATATATATATATATATTTGCTACATACATGTGCATGAACGAGAGCTAATGATAACTGCAAAGAAGTTCAACGTCCGTTATCCTCTTTTTATTTGAAGAGGAAAAGCGTTTCCGTGTCCACGTTTATATAATTTTTTGTCGTTCTTACGAGTAAGTAAAATATGCTTATAAAGTTTGACGATCTATTTTTTATAAGATCCTTTATAATTAGAAATTCTACATATCATATTAAACCAACCTATTGATTTTTGATCTCTTTCTCTCTCTCTCTCTCTCTCGCGCACGCATGTATATATATATTCTTTCGAAACGATCTATGTAATGTATATATGTATTAATCCTTATTATCTTTATCGTATATAGTAAATTCGAAATTATGACGTGGAAGGGCGAATTGTTACGATGTGGTCACGTACGTTCTAGCGTGAGAGAGGTTACGCTGTTTTAGGGACGACGTTGGCTTAGAACGATATGAATTCAATTAACGATAGGTTACGGTACGCGGTAACGTTGTTTATAACGTTAAACATTCCCCAAATCTGAAAGGTCCTATGACTACATTATTGATATGCAAAAGGAATGCATTCGCTAAAGTGTATCGTATCTGCGTTATTTCAATATTAAATGAACTAAACTGCGAATGTCAGTATCATCATGTATTATATAAACGCGTACTGCAACGTACGTCACGTGATTTATGTGAGTTAGATTTATGCAATTTCGAATGAGTGAGTGGAGTAGTAAACGTCTGTGGTGTTTGCCTTTAAAAGAAAAAAAAAAAAAAAAAAAAAAAGAAAAAAAACGATATGAACGATTTACAACAATTAATTAATCCCGCTTTTCTCCTTCTCCATGCTTATCTCTTTCTTTTCTTTATTACTTTGCTATTGTCTCGCAAATGATTTTCCGACATTTAACATTTTTTTATTTTCCATTTCTCATATAATATATCGCGAATAATAATTTTATATATTACATATCAAAATTGTATACGTTCGAATGTTATACATTTATATTAAATTTTATCAAACTTATTTCGAGAATAATGATTCGTCGTATTGATCAAAATTATCGAAAGAATGATGTTTTATTATTGGAGAAATGGCGTTTCGTTTCACGTATAATTGATATTAATTTTACAATTCAAAAGATAATTTCATATCAAATTTTATACCATGCTTATGCATAATCGTTTATTTTTCTTTTTTCTTCTTCTTTTTTTTTGTATTTAATTTCATTACCACTGTAATCACGCGTATGCATTATTAATTTACTTCTCGAATATACAAACGGAGATCAAACGGAGAGCAATATCAATCCCGTTTCGAAGTTGCGAGGGGAGATAATTAACTTCTTCATTTTTTTGATTTTATTCGTTTTTCTCTTTTCTTTTTTTCTTTTTTTTTCTTTTAGACGCTCGATTAAGCGTAATATTCATGTTTCACAATTTTACCGGTTTATTGGTAGAATACGTCAAACCGCTGTATGATGCACGATAAAAGCGAAATTCGATTTGGTTACTCGTACCGACGTGTATATAGGCAAATAATACTGTGTCTGGCCGCATCACCGGTTGGAATTGCAAATTCACAGGAGAACTCTTCACGCGAACGCCCTTCAACAAGGCTGTTCGTTAATTCGTTTATTGATCTTTGTCGTTGCCGGCTATATTTCTCGCAAAAACCATAAACTGTTAATTAAAAAAAAAAAAAGTAAAAAAGAAAAAAAAAATAAAAGAAAAGAAAAAGAAAATAAAAAGAAAAAAAAAAAAAAGAAAAACGAACGACGATATACATTTCAGAAGATTCACCATTTTAAATTTTTGAAGAGAACGAAAGAAAGAATGAAATTAATTCGTACGTTATCTTTTCTTAAATTTTTTCAAATTTATTTCCTTAATCTTATACGATTACGATGAAAGAAAAAGATTAATAAGATTAATTCTTGCCTTTGTCATTTGATAATTATCGTCTTCTTCGCTATCGATAGAGTAAAAAGAAAAACTTCAAGATATATTTATTTTTATAAAGTTTTTAATACAATCTTATTGTCTTATAATGATTAATCATTTGCGTCGTTAAAAAAAAAAGAGAGAGAGAGAGAGAAAACAAAGAAAATACTTGGAAATTGCATTCGATAAGATTATACATTTAGACGATTAACGACGAAGTTTACGAGTCGTGATAATAGATAATTGAGCCAATATGTCTCTGTATTATACAGGATGTTTCTAAATGAATTCAACAAAATTTATATTCGATCTATTTGTTCACCAGGGTAAAAGAATCATTGATCGACAAAATTGTGTAAAAAAGTTTACAATGATCTTAAGATCAATTGAATCTCTCCTATTGTCATTTATATCATTGATCGGATTATACGATTGGTACTAAAAAAATTTCTTACTAATACTTTAGAAAGATCTTATAGAATTTCAATCGATGATGTATGTATCAAAATATGTATGTTTGCCGAGTTATGTACTCACCGTTACACCTTTAAAACTTGTGTTCCCGAGAGCCTCGAGGAATAACATCTCCCAAAGTGCGTCTCTGTATTTGAAATCCGATATAGTCTGATTCCGACGAAAGTGTCGTATCCTACGTGTTACGTGCTGTATTGCCAACGCCACCGCCCAAATTCCATCGTACGTGTATCCGTGAAATCTCGAATACTCCTTTCCCCTTCTCGAGTCGTACTCGACTCGATACTGATCAGGTGTCTGAAAAAAAAAACAAAAAAAAGAAAGAAAGAAAGAAAGAAAGAAAGAAAGAGAGAGAGAGAGAGAGAGAGAGAGAGAGAGAGAGAGAGAGAGAGAGAGAGAGAGAGAGAGAGAGAGAGAGAGAGAGTAAAAGAAATGGAAAGAAAGAAAATGGGATTTTTGTGTTATATATCCACTACTATTTTCTTTCATTACATATTCATTACTATTTTCTTTCATTATATACAAAATGCAAGTGAATGCATAAGAAACGGATAAAATGAAATTTTACATTACAGGAATCGCGAACAAACATGTCTTAGAATATTCGTATTGTCAGGAGAGATTAAGATAAGATCAAATTAGATTTAAATGAATAATCCCGGTTTCTATATACTTTAAAACGGCAAATCAATTATGTATTATCAAAAAGAATTATTAATCACTTGCTGTGTAAAGAAATTCAAGGTTGACGGTGCCACGCACGTCATTTTTCTTTCTGCAACAATCGCCTGATGATATGTGTAATACGTCATTGGCGTTCCGGTAACAGAAGCATTTCGACGTACGTGGCACGTCTTTCCACTGCAAGTGGTTAAAAAAGATTTGATTAAGTTCGAATCAATGTAACAATGATCCTCTTTCTCGTAAATTCGTCGATTTGTAAATTCTATTAACGTTAATCATTTCTATTAAAATGAATTGTAAATTATTCATTATTTTTAACAAATTATCTTATACGTTTGTAGATTATTTATAAATAATCATAGTAACAAAAAAATTATCACTTATCATTGGCTTCTTGCATACAATAAAAATTACTGCAGCATATATAAACACACACACACACACATATGTATACGCTGATATTTTTTTTTCCCTTGTAGAATAGGATCGAAGAAATAATATAAGATATATAGTAAGGGAAATTTGGGCAAAAGGAGGATGGTTCGCTATATGCTTCATTTTATGGTCGCAGGTGTATATATCAACCGTTCAGTGTACTCTGCTCTCAAGTTACTATGATATCTGATCAGTTACACTTCACTGAACACACATTTCAACGCCGTCCGACAAATTTTTCATAATTCAGTGACTTCCATAGAGGCAACCATCAGCTATCTAACGATATATGCAACAAGTTGGAATATAATCGAGAGAGAAATTTTTTTAATTATAATATGTACAAATGTACAACGACTTTGTACGTACAACTACTTAGTATTACAATATTTATAATTTAAAATAAATTAATAAAGCGATGTATAATAATATTAAACAGATATAGAATGAGAAGAAAAGAAAGGATCATCAAATTCAGAAAAAGAGTGAGTGACAGAGAAAGATAGATAGATAGATAGATAGATAGAGAGAGAGAGAAAGAGAGAGAGAAGGTTTAGAAAAAGTTTTAATCCTCTCAGCTGGAAGATAAAAATTTGATCGGTTCGTTTGTTAGAGCGTGGCTCGTTTTATTGAGATAATGGGGCACGAAGAAGAAGGTTCACTGTCATTGTATCAGCGCACCGATTATACGTTTCTTGTGTTCGCGTCATTGACTCGATCGAGAAATAGATACTTTTGTGAAGGGTCAACTTGACCTCAATCGACCTCCTTCACCCCATCTACGCCCATCTGCACTCACTCGGCCCACCTCAGCCCATCTAAGCCCACCCGCACCCACATCACCCATCTGCACCCACCCGGTTCACCTTTTTCTTTCATCTCCAGAAAGAAAATTAAATTTTCGAGAAAAATGGGAACACGGTGGCAGTGTTAGAAGCTCTATGGTGCTGGAGAAAGAGGATCGTAGGAGTCCCCAATTTAACTTTCTTTCGTCTCCCGCAGACGTTCCTCGGGACGAACTCTTTTCCCTCGGGTGAAGTCAAAGAACTCTAAAGGGAAAAAAAGAGAAAAAGAAGAAAACTAGCTCAACTAAATATCGTTTTCTTAAAATCAACGAACGTGATACAATATATCAATTTTATATAGATATTCATCATTAATATATCCATCGATTGACAATATTTAATAACTGATATTATTTTAATTAATATTTAATCATCATAATTCATATTAAATACAAAAGATATAATATACGATTATTATAGCGTATACGATAATTAATTTATAAAATGATAGATTAAATAACGTATGAGATGCACCAATTAATATGCCTGTTTTAAATATAGTGTGATCGTTGAATATAATAACAAGAATGAATTAAAAGGATAAAAGAGGAAAATATAAAAAAATAAAAATTCTTCATTAAATACTCTAATATTATATTTCTTTAATCATATTTATTCTATCTCTTTATCTATCTATCTATCTATCTATCTTTTTTTTTTCTTTTCATTTTTTTTTTTTTATCGTTTCATTTCTTTCATCCCGCGAATTGGCTTCCAACGAACGAACGAATCAAGAGAGAAAGGATAATAATTTATATAACTATGACGTGTTAGCGATTTTCTCGAGAAACCACTCCGAGAACTCGTTTTGAGTTTCAAGAGAAACTACGTGCGTGGTATGTAACTTCACTCGACTTCTCATATATATATATATATATATATATATATATATATATATATATATATATATATATATGTATATATATATATATATATGTATATATATATGTATATACGTACACGTACCTGCATATACATACATACACGTATATATATATATATATATATATATATATATATATATATATCGATGTGTATCTTTATTCTTCTCCGGCAATGTATATACGAAGAATAGGTAGGTACCTACATACCTGCTACCGGAGAACCACCGATGGCGCGTTTTCCATCATGATCGAATTACATGCAAGCGCTATATTTTCAGGTCAAATATAGATCTACAGACAAATGTCTTATCGGTAGACGCTATCGCATTTCTCCCACGCAGACGTTAGTAAACGAGGGATATTTCACGGCAGTTGGCGTTACTCCATTTCACAAACATTACACAGGATGTCCAATTTCAAAATTTCGCACGCAATTATTTTACGAATTATAGCTCCATTCGAAAGAAGTTTTCTTCAAATAAAATTTACCCCTTGGTGGATGAGTGTATCGGTGGATGGATGGGATGAGAAATTTAACGTCTTACAGTGATTCTAAATCTTCTATAGGTGGACTAAGTACTTATGAAATTTCAAACTGACCTTTGCTTTTTTTTCTTTCTTTCTTTTGTTTTCTTTTTTTGTGTTTCTTGGTTTTTTTTTATCCCTACCGTACTGTACGTTTTTGATTTAGGTATAGAAACGTGTTGACTTTTTCAAGATGAAATCATTGACCATAACGTTTTGATTCTTGAAGGTATGTAGTTCAAGGTCATTTAATAACGTTCTAAACTTACCACCTTCATTATAAATCCAAATATTGTTCCATATATCTTATACCTAAAAGGATGTTACTTCGACAATACGATTCATTGATTTATTCTATTCCTAAATAAAAGTTTAAAGTTCTTAAGTGTTGTTCAATCAACTTATTGACAGGCATACTTAATACAATCGTGCAACTTTCTTACAATTATGACGAGACTCGCTTTTCAAAACAAGAATCATATCGACAATTTCATTCGATGTATTATAAGCCATCGTAAATTATATCGGTATCGAAACCAAGAACAACACGTGATGTTAATCACAATAATACTAATATTTCCGAATCGTTTGTAATACATTAGTAATAGATTCCTTGTTCGTAAATTAAAGGAAATAAATTTTAGTCCCAGTTTGTCAAATGTTTCAAATCAAATCGACGAATAATTATGACAAGGAACAATTTCTGGATATATTACAAAATGAAGATAAATTTTGAACGTGCGTTAAATGATTTTAAAATTTTGTAGAAAAATTCAAATGGGACGTACTGTATATACTCTCTCTTTCTCTCTCTCTCTCTCCCTCTCTCTTTCTCTCTGTCTTTTTTATCTCCAATCATCGTTCTTTCTCTCTCGTCAGACACTATTGCCCAGACATTTGTTATAATTATTTTAAATACTTCGATTCTTCGTATATTCTAATCTAATCGACTAGCGATCGAAATAAAATAAAATACAGATTATTTTATTTTATGATATATTTAACTACGTAATTAGAGATTAGTACGAATTTATCTATCAGGAGTAATATCAAGGGACGTTAATTTGACACCATTATTCGGTTTTTCCTTTACGGAGAAAAATTCTTTCAAAAGTTACAATTCTTATTTTGTTTTATTTTCTTTTTTTATCATTAAAATACTACTGAAATCTTTCTTTATCGTAAGTCGCATGATAAATTTAAACGCTAATATTTTTCCATTAAATGAAAATATTAAAGGTCTTTTTGATTCTTTTCTTTCCTTTCTTTTCTTTTCTTTTCTTTTCTTTTTTTTATTCCATTTATATATCTATTTATTTATGTTTATATTAATTTATTATTATTATTTTTTTTTCTAATAACAGAAGTATTATTTTTACGTATCACATTTAATTGAAATAATTGTACGACTAATTCTTTACGCGTGTATAGTATGATGATTGCTCACGTGTTATATTTATGTATAATCGATATCCTCAGACATTTACTTTCGCAATCTGACATATCGCTGTCTCTTCATTCATCCTCATTTTCATATAATCGGCTGTCATTGATCGATGTTCGGTAACGGTCTTGCATACTTTGTACGTAACATTTTTCTTTCGCTTCACGTTTATCGTTTCGTTTATACATTCTTTATTTGTACGTACCATACATACAATTTTCTTTAGCCATTCATTCTTTCACTCATCCCTATGGATATGAAAAAAAAAGAAGAAAAAAAAAAACTAAAACTACAATACTATTGAATTCGCTATAATAAATAATCTAAAAATAATTTATTATAAAGGGATGAAAATTTATGATTTAATACCATAGCTTTATATAATTTATATATTTGATAGAAATAAAATAATAAATGACAAATTCAATCTAAAGGTATGTAACTAATTATCTGTAATGATAAAGCTTTTAAATGATTAATTGAATCGTTTATTGAAAAGACAAATAAAAAGGAAAGAGAGAGAGAAAAAGAGAGAGAGAGAAAAAGAGAGAGAGAGAAAAAGAGAGAAAGAGAGAGAGAGAGAGAGAGAGAGAAAGAGATCTTAAAGCCTATTTGTAAAAAGTGTTTGCTTTTACTTACGATTCCAGACACAGTGTAATCCTCCTCGGTCGTTAAAGGTAGGAGATCTGTCAAGATGGCGCCGTGCAAAGCCTCCGCTAGTTCGGAGGGTGCACAGCCACCACCGGGCAGAGTCCACCACTCTTCTGCGTAAGTGCCCATTACGACCCATTGGTACTTCCTTCCGTACATTCCGAATCTGAAAAATGATCGATATATATGTATATATATATATATATACATATAATGTATATACATGCATATTCGATACAGGTCAGACATAAATTGATGAATGTAGAGTGGAAAGAGAGAAAAAAAAAGAAACAAGAGGCGATTTTGTTTCGAGTGATTTGTTTTTCTTCTACAACGATATTAAAATATTGAAATTATTTGTGCGAAATAAAAAGATATAAATGTTTCCAAAGCGTTTGTGTGCGATTTGAAAATGAAGTGTAAAAATTTCGTAAAGCTTTCGTTTTGTTTTGTTTTGTTTTGTTATGCAATTTGAATAAAAACAAAACAAAAAGAATAATTGTCATCCGTGAGAAAACAAAACTTATTTTCTTTTTTTTTTCTTTTTTTTTTCTTTATTACAGATATTTAATATATCGTATTCCTTTCTTTCTTTTAATTTTTCAAATTAAGTTTCTAAGATTTTTCTCCAATTTTTTTCTTTTATGTAAATAATTTCAATAAAAAGATATTTAATATCTTATGATTTTTTATAGTATTATTTGAAGTTACAACAAAATTAAGTTTTAATATTTTACTGACGACAATACAGCATGTGTGTGTGTATGTGTATATATATATATATATATATATATATATATATATATATATATGTAAACATTTATGCTTTTTAGAAAAATCATACGAAATTTTTGTCTTTAATAGTTTAAGCTCGATATAATAATTCTTAAAACAGTTGTTGTCAGAAGTTGGTTATCATGTATTATATATCATCGAAGCGAATGTGTTGCAAACATAAATCTAAGTAATAATTTGAATACCAACTTGTAGGCCTCGCAGAATATTCTTCTCGCCCAAATTTCATCAAAGTTTCCAAGAATGATCCTCACGTCCTTATCCTTTAGTTTCTCGAGTGCTGCTGTTACTTCCGTAGCGAAACTCTGTGTTTCTACGACCTCCATTTTGTTCTTATCCAAATCAGAGACCAAACGATTGTGTGCCTGTCAATGGAAAAATATATATGAAAAGTAAATAAATATATAACAGATATATATATATATATATATATATATATCTGTTTTATATATATATATATATGTATATATATATATATATAAAACTACACACGAAATATATCGGATGATAAAATCTTCGAGCGTATGTAAAAATTCTCTTTTTTTCTTTATGTTCCTCTCCTTCTCTCTCTCTCTTTTTTATTACTTTTTTTTTTGTTCTTTTTAACTCTCTTTCCCGCTCAATCGAAAGAATAAACCAGTCGCGCGCTAGATTGGATCCGTGCAAAAATTTTCACGAGGAGTGCAACAAAATTGTACGAGCGTAAATATTGATCGATAATTTGAAAAACAGAAAGGAAAAAAGAAAAATAAAGAAAAAAAAAAGAAAAAAAGAAAGAAAGAAAGAAAGAAAGAAAGAAAGAAAAAAATCACAGGACTATAAAAAGCTAGGATTATTTTTTGTTTTTGTTTTCTTTCTCTTTTCCTTTTCGCCCCCTTTCAACAGATAGATATCATCAGAAAGACAATATGAATTTCAACTAAGGTTCATACATTTAGTCCTTGCACGATTATCTTTGCCTGGACCTTCCTTACTATTTCTCAATCCTATCGCAGTCGTACGTTTATCCTGGTGCCTGCGAAATCCCCATAAGCCTCGGCTTTGCTTTGGAATTAAACAAATATTTCCGAGATGTTGAACTGGTGTGCGAGGGATGCTGAATTGATAAAGTTCCAGCCGATCTCACCAAAAGGTAACTTAACAGTGTCATTCCCATTACCATGAAGATTAGTATGCAAGAGTTCCTCTCTCTCTCTCTCTCTCTCTCTCTCTCTCTCTCTTTCTTTCTCTCTCTCTCTCTCTCTATCTCTCTTCATGGTTATGAAAAGGATTATCGTTTTATCAACACAGCAACATCAAAATCCATAAAGGGTATGTCATAGTGGATAGTATAAATGAAAATGGGACTTGTTTGCCTGCGATCATTGGGACTTAAGAGAATGCATATATGAGTATATACGCAATTGCTCATGGAGATCATTGAATTATATTGAATCAAATGGAGGCGTGTTCGAATTATAAATATCTCATCTGTTCGAGACCAGACTAAATGAATGTAACATAGCCCGGAGGTGATCGTTTCCGTATCGTTCCTGAATAAATCCATCACCGAGACCAGACATTATAATTTTATGTTCTTACGACGTAGATCCGGTCAATTCATATTCGTGTCCGTTAAATTCATGATTTTAATATGATTTATGATTTTACCGACATTCTTACGAAAATTGAAAAATTTCTTTTCACAGATTTTAATGTTTTTAACAAAATTCTTCTAATATTCTCTCTCCTAATATTCTCTCTAGGATCCAATTTGAATATTATTTTTATCATTCTAAGCGCTCAATTTTTTATAAAAATAAAATAAAAATTAATAACAATTTGAGAATGCAAAATAAATTGTACGCTTTATAATTAAAATTATTAAATGAAGTAAACAAATGAAATTTATATAAAAAATTTATACAAATGAAATAATAATGTTCATGGATCGCATGATGATGATGATTATTTAATTTGTATGCGTGTATGCATGTTTGGATATGTGTCATTAACGAGATAAGAAGGGTTGAATATATTTTTGTTCTTGAAATTCACTCCAAGAATGTTAAATCGATCCCCAAAAATTTTCAGCTATCATTTTATGTAGTAATTAACAATTTATGTAGTAATTAGCAATAGTAATTACAAATTGTAAGTAATAGAAAAAATAATTTTCCGACAAAGTTCATTTCCTTTAATTAAAGTTATAATTTGTTAAAAGATTTATCAATTGTTTATATAATTATTAAAAACCAAAATTATCAACAAAAATATTAATTATATTTTTTTTCCTAAAATTCATTAATCCATCTAGTTCAAATAACTATAAAACAGCTTAATACTTCGCTTTCTTTTTTTTTTTTTTTAATATTAATATAAACATAGTTATATTGTATTAATCAATTGTATCAACCGTAATACTGCATGCTTTAAGTCTTAATTCATTTTCGTTGCGATACCTAAAGAAAAAAAAAGGAAAATCTTATAGTAATAAATTAATAATTAATGAAAGGTAGGTAGTAATAGTAATTGTTAGGGTTCGGTTAGGTTAGAGATGCGACGACGTATCAGAGAGTATAAATCATATCACGTGACCCACGTGACGTAGACATAGGGTACCAGTTAATGTGAAGTCATGTATTCCCTAGAGAGGGAATTCACCTGACAACAGTGTTATTAACACAACAATACTAAACAATGTAAACAAATTATACTAATCAAACCAAGATAATAATTTTAATGATTACAAGATTAATTATATACGTATGTATATGTTTTGACTGAAAACCAATTTATTTGGATTTTTATTTTTTACAAATTATTTTCATAAATTTCAATACATCAAAATAGTTTTATAATGAGAAAACGTTTATGAAGAGATGCTTCGCAAAAAAAAAATGCAATCGAAGCAAGTTTTCTGCTGGTTTTATGTATTTCTTTTTCTATCTATCTATCTATCTATCTTCCCCTTTATCTTTTGCAAAAGAGAGATAAAGGGGGAAAAAATCGCAATAACAAGCGAATATCATTTAGGTACACGTATACTTGTGTGTATTTAGTTTCGTTCCCCGCTTCGTCGTTCTCGAATAGTATCTTGAGGCGATAAATTTCAGGTCTTATATTGAAAGAGAAAATAGTCGAAAAAGGATGAAAATAGAGATAGGATGAAGAGAAATGGAAAGAGAGAGAGAGAGAGAGAGAGAGAGAAGGAGAAAAAGAGAATCTGATGTGTTCCTTTTACTCTGTCCCTTTTTATCGACCGTCTTCTTTTCGAAAAATCAAGAGCTCCTTTCGAGTTTAAAGTTAAAGCTCGAATCGTGAGTCGTCAAAGCGTGAGAGAGATTTCATGCAAGTTGTTCCTTTGTTAGATGAAAGGTAAAGGCAATAGAATTGTACATATACGTGAGGAATGGAGTCAACTTGGTATGGTGGAAGAATTCGGGGGCAGAGGAGGGGAAGGAACGAGGGAGAGAGTGTGAGCGAGGAAAGGAGAGGAGATTTGAAATATTATATTCTTCGATCGCGAGAAAGGGAACCAGTGATGATATTGGATATGAACTGGTTTATCGTATGTACCTTCGAACAACTATTCGCGAAGAGTTTCGAAAGATCTATAATCTTTCTCCCCTTCCCATCTTCCTACCATTTCGTCATCTTTGATCGTTCAACCGGCTTTGACATTTTTCAGAAACAAGTGACATTTTCCTTAATCGTTTGCTTTTGGTGTGAAGAGGAAAGAAAAGAAAAAAAAAGAAAAATAATAAAAATAATAAAAAATAAAAAAAAGAAAAATAAATAAATAAATAAAAGAAAAAGGAAGAAGAAGGAAGAAAATTTTCTATTACATTTCTGTCGTCTTTCGTTTTACATGAATCGAATTTCCAAGCTACGATCGACGACAAAAATATTTTTCCTTTGTTTGAGGAGAACAAGAGAAAAAAGCAAAAGAGATAATATGTATTTTCTATTATTGATAAGTTTTTTTATATATTATTTTATATATATATATATATATTTTTTTTTTTTATGAGTATATATGTATATATACCCATCGATTTCGAGATTTATCGTCGTTTAAAATATTAATTTATTCGTGCTTTTCTTTTTTCTCCGCTTTTTTTTTTTCTTTTTTAAATTACAAACTACACGTCGTATGATCCAATCCATACGATATTTTTATCGTTCGAATCGACACGAAATCAATTGTAATAAATGAAGAACGGATAAAATATTTATAAATATTTAAAAACCATTTTTCTCGAAGAAATCTTATTACGCATTCTCGTTTCGTCATATATAATTATGTACGTATCATTCATTCCTTCAACGGCAATTCGACATCGTGTTTACAACGGTTACGGTTACGTTTCATGATTTATTCCAAGTTATTCGTAAGATGTATAGTAAGATATTAATTTTCAAGGATAAGGAGAGGATGGTGCATTACAAGATGGCAGAAACACGTCGAAGATGTAATCGGGTTTAATTAAAGTTCTGCGACCTAGAATCTGTGATATTAATTCACCTAAACACACGTAGCCGTGTAAATAGATCTACGAGAGAGAGAGAGAGAGAGAGAGAGAGAGAGAGAGAGAGAGAGAGAGAGAGAGATAAAGAGAGACAGAGAGAGAGCGAAAGAGAGAGAGACAAAGAGAGACAGAGAGAGAGCGAGAGAGAGAGAGACAGAGATAAGGGAGGAGGAGACAAAATGTGTGTGTGCATATGAGAGAGAGAGAGAAAGAGAGAGAGAGAGAGGGAGAAAGAGAGAGAGAGAGTGAGAGAGTGAGAGAGTAGACACAAAAGCTGGTAGGTGCAAGGGACCACCTGACGTTTACGTATATCTCTGACAGATTTATGGATGCCGAAGTTCCTGCTGCTGCTTTACGCGCGTAATAATGTGCAAAATGTTTGGGGAAGGATGGTGAAGAGTTAAACGGGATATATAGGGGGTGGAGTGGGGGTACAAGTATGCACTCTCACCAGACCGAGAAAGGAATTTGCATTTGGCAGGCATCTCTCTGTAAACTTTGTTCTGCATTGTGAGTTCGTATCATCCTCTCTCTCTCTCTCTCTCTCTCTCTCTCTCTTTCTCTCTCTCTCTCTCTATCTATCTTTCTTTCTTTCTTTCTTTTTTCTTTTTTGTTTTTTCTTTTTTCTCTCGTTTTTTCTCTATATACTATAGTATAACTATATACGCTCGTGTCATTTTTCTTTCTCTCTCTTTCTCTCTTCCTCTCTCTTCTTACTTTCTTCAGTTAAGCGATCTACCTTCAAGGGAAATATCAACTCCAATATTTTTGAAAAGGAATTTTTCTCGTACTCACCTACTCGAGCTTTTTGTCCTTTATTTTCTTTTACTTTTTCTTTTTATTCTCTTTTTTTTTTCTATCTTTCTTTTATTTTTCCTTTTTTTCTTTTTTATCTTCCGAACGATCTATTTCCGATGAAAAATGTGATATACATAAGTACCTATGTATGACTCCAGAGACACGGCTATAAACGTCATGGCTTCGAATAAAAGTACGAGTTTGAATGAAGGCAAGTTGGATGCACGCTGGCTTGTACTTTTCGCGAATTTTCAACGAGCTCGTGCAGTTATTTTTTTTTTTTTTTTTTTTTTTATAAATATTTCGAAAGCCAAATCATTTTTTTTTTGTTTATTATTTTTCATATGAGTTCATATATTTTTTTTTTATAATTAAAATATTTATATAATAATATATATATATATATATAAGATCGAAGAGAATTAATGAAACTTATTTTTGAAGTAGAAATGTTTTTATTAAGATCGATCTCTCGTTCATGCACGATCACAGGCATACACGAGTTTGAATGAAAATTATTCTAACTCGTAAGAATATATTAAATACTAAATTGGACCGTATAAACTGCAATACAGAGAAAAAGAGAGAGAGGGAGAGAGAGATAGTGATGTGTTGTGTAACTTCGTATTCATGAATCTCCACAAATTATCTTTATAAAACAAAAGAATATTAATTCAAGTTACTTATTCGAGTTGCTAATGTAGAAAGCTCATCCTGTAAATGTAGAGGAAATAACGTTAATATTCAAACATTATAATATATCTATATATTTCGCTATATATTAGAATTAATAATGAATGTAATAGATGATTTATTATACATATGTCGTGACAATTTAATGTAGTTAATAAATAATCATCGAATTTCTTTATTCGATTTATTTATTTATTATCTGTTATTTAAAATATTCCATAATTTCGATGTTAGAATTTTGCATATGGAAAATAAGCATATACAAAAGAAATTATTTCATATAAAAATATATTCTGTTCGATTTTATTTCAGAGATAATATAATAATTATGATAATATAATAATAATAATTATGTTAAGTTAGACTGATGTTAAAGGTATTAACGTTAGTTCGATTAGGGGTTTAAGAAAGTTTACGAAGACAATCAAAATATTGAGTTTTAAGGTTTTCTTGAAAAACTAAATTATTTGAAAACTTACTATATATATATATATATATATATATATATATATATATATATATTCAAATATTCATCTTACAAAAAAATCTTATTTATAATTACTATAACAAATTTATTATATTAAGTATAATATAATAATATTAATTGAATACAAGTTTTTATGAGTATTAATTTTTCACAACAGATATAGAACAATGGAGATTGATTTTTTTACTTTTTTTTAATTGATAGTTGAAAAACAAATTATTAAATTAAATACAAATAAAGCGAAATATTATAGAAGTTCAAATATTAACGTTATTCGCGAATATTATAATAGAAATGAATTTTAGATCTTTTTAATTTTTTTAAACAATCGGTATCATCGATCTTCGTTTGTTTCGATCAGAAACAAATAGTCGATTTTTATTTCCTTTTATTCTCTCATTCGTATCATTCAATTTTCTTTTACCGTTGAACGATTGTTGTCCACGGTGGGATTTCAAAGAGAGAGAGAGAAAAAAAAAGGAAGAAAGAGAAAAGAAAAAGAAGAAGAAGAAGAAGAAGAAGAAGAAGAAGGTTTGACCCAAGATATAATCAATTCTCGTTTGGTGGTATAATCTCTTACGAAACGATACGTAGTAAGGATGAGACCAACGAGAGAAAGAGATAGAGAGATAGAGAAATAGATAGATAGATAGAGATAAATAGAGAGAGAGAGAGAGAGAGAGAGAGAGAGAGAGAGGGAGAGAATGTGTTAGGTCAAGTGAGTAGAGTTGATAACCCCAACGTGAGACAAATCCCACGAGATATTCATACTATCCGAGAGCTCTTCTAAATAAGCATGAATTAAACGTTATTAATATAGACACAGTTTTCAACTCGATTTATGAAGATCATGTTTCAATGAACGTTTTATCATTCATTTCTCGTTAATAAATTTCTTATTTGTCTATTATTATTCGACAATTAAATAGCCATTTAATGTTTCAGAGAAAAACAATAGTATAATTTACATGCAAACACATGCATACATACACTAGTGTATGTATGTATGTGTGTGTATATATAAAATTGCATTAAATCCATCTTTTCGTTTTTGATGATTTTTCAATATTATGTCGGAATTATGATGCCGAATGAAATTTTTTTTTCTAGTGCACATATAAAAGCACTGCTCAGACTTATTATTTTTACTTTCGTACATATTCATGGTAATAAATGAATGAAGTTTTATTTATTTATTTATTTTTTTTCTTTTTTTTTTTTGATAAAATAATCCGAACGGAGATATTAGAGAATGATCATGAGTTAATTCTTGATCATTTCGATGATCGAACGTTGTTATTTACAAATAGTATATATTCGATGTTTCAAGAAATCAAGATAATACGTAACGCGTTACATTTATATGCTTATACGAATATTTTTTTTTTTTTTTTTTTCAAAAGAATAATACAAACGTTCTTTCCATTCATGTGATATTATTTGAATAAATATATGCGAATGAAATATCATGACATATTCAATGTATAAAATAATAAACTAAAAAATTTTAAAAGCGTAAACTGACAATAAAACACATTTTTGTCTATTCGTTGTTCGATGCTAACATTAAATCGAATTCGTTTATATATGTTAACATTGTTACATTATTATTTTTTCTCTTTAATCAATCTTGATAAACGTATCATCGACTCTGATATATACTTTTACTTTTTTACTTTTTTATTTTACCATAAAGTTGTAATCGAGACGAAATGAGAGATATTTTGTGTAGGAGGTTGGTTTACGAAGTTTTTAATAATAAAAAAAAAAAAAAAAAAAAAATTTGAAACGATAAACTTACCAAAGCGTAACGTGGCTCGTTCTGATAGATGGTTCCAACTCTGGTCCAATTGAAGTGCATTAGCAATGCAACGCGTGGCGCGTTGAAAGCGTTTTCGGACGGTACGACCCTGAAGAAATTAGGGAAGCTCTTGCTCGTGAACATCGGATGGGTGTCCGCGTAACTGAGCTGAAAAAGGAATAGAAGTAAAAAAAAAGATAATGCGGATGGCAAAGCTCGTTCTTTTTCTTTTTTCTTTTTTTTTTCTTTCTTTTTTTTTTTTATATTATCCTTTTAGTTCGACCACTTCTTTTTTAGGATCTCAAGGTTCATTATATGTTATACATATACGTACGTACGTACGTATGTATGTATGTACGTATGTATGTATATATGTACGTCAGATTCTCGGTTCTTGGACAGAGAGACTAAGAAAGGGGCTAGCTTAACAATAGCTGCTACTAACAACGCCTAGAGTAAAACGGGGTGGTTATATAAAGAGGGAGATATAAAGTTAAAAAAGCAAAAAAAAACAGAATAAACGTAAAAGAAAAAAGAAAAAAAAATAAAATAAATGAAAAAGAAAGAATAAAAAAATACAAAAATAGAAGAGAACAGAGAGAGAGAGAGAGAGAGAGAGAGAGAGAGAGAGAGAGAGAGAGATAGAGAGAGGAGAAAGAAAAAAAATGGATGGTCAAAAGAAGCAAAAGTTGAGTAAAAACAAACGGGGTCATGTGAGTTCTTTATATTTCTTTTATTGGCAAACACTTGGTTATGCTGGATGGGTAAACAACAATGGAAGTATCCTTTTTTAAATGGTACTACTTAAAGAATTTTTTTTCATTTAAAAATAATGCAACCTGCCGGATTATAGATAAACTTATGTATTCATACATACATGAATGAACATATATATATATATATGTGTGTGTGTGTGTGTGTGTGTGTGTCTGTATATGTAATATCTAGCTCTGATAGATGTTATTCGCGAATTAAAAGTGAACGAGCGAATTCGCCGTTCACAAGATTCCAGTTTGGACACAAAGTGTAAGACACATTGTTGGATGGAGATGGAATGTAAATGTTGAAAGGATGAGGAGAAAGAGGAGATGAGAAAATGGTATGAGGGATGGATCTCGTGTTTACTCGGCCTTTTCTTTTTCGTGATCCCTCGAGATTATCGGAGGACGCCGCTGGCTCGTAAAAATGTCCGCGGCGGCTGTTTCGCGTGAGCGAACGACGTAACATCGCTCATGAAGATTTAGATAATGGCTGCCCATCGAAGAAATAAAACAAATCAACGAAAAAGGAAAAAAGAAAGAAAGAAAAAAACAAAAAAAAAAGTAAAAGAAAAAATAGAAAAAGAGAAGAAAAAGAAAACAAATTAGAACGGAAAAAATCGATGTTCGTGAAAAATGTTAGAAACGTTTAAAATATGATCGGTCGTTCGTTTGATTTTTCTTTTGTTTTCTCATTTTTTTTTCTTTTTTTTTTTTTTTTTAATTCTTAAAAAATATAACATCGAGACGAGATGATCGCTTTATACGGTATATAAGGTGAACGTGAAGTATGCACGTATACGTTTACTTTAATTTCTTTTTCTTCTTTTTCTCAATTTTGCTTTTTACATTTGGGAATTGAAAGTTGTTTTTCTTTCTTCTCTTTTTTTCTTTTTTCACGAATTTAATACAACTGGTTATTCGGTAAGCATATTATAAATTATGAAAGGAATAGAAAGATATTCACAAAATTTGTTTCTTCGTGGAATTTTTGATTGATCAACTTTACGTAATAAACCATCCTGTATATTTTCATTATAGGAACATTCTGAAAAAAAATTTTTTTTTATTTCAAATTCTTATCCGTTCGATGGTTCCATTAACGTTCTCTCAAACGAAATTTCAAACGAAAAACGATTAAAGAATGACAATGTATGATGTCGACCATTTTGAAAGTTCGTATATAATGGGTGTCTCAGTTGAATCAATCCACGTGAATATCATTTAAACTATTCATAATATTGACAAATATATCAGACAAAAGTACGTAAGACATAAAACAAAACATCATGTAATGCATAAGTATATTTTTATTTTTATTTATTTTTTATTTCTTTTATAGATGTCGTTTAGGAAATTTGAAGACCCATTATATTCTTTTAAATTCTTCTACATTTTAAATTAAATTTAATTCATTTTTTCAAATATCTCTCAGAGATATTTGATATAATTCTTTGTTAAAAATTTTATTGGGAATTAATGAAAAAAAAAAAAAAAAAAAAAAAAAAAAAAATACCAAGTGGTATATATCGTACAATAATTAAAAAAAAATATTAACATGATCTTCAAATCTCCAGAATAAGTTCATTTGTAAGAGAAAACATATTTACACATGCATCTATTTGATCGTTGAGACTTCAAGGTTTACGAAATTTCGTTTGAAAAATTTTTTGGATATTGCGAGTAATTTAGATGATACTCATTTATTGATTAATTTAGAATGGAACACACTGTATACATTCTTGTTCGTTGATAGCTACTGCTTTGTTTTAAATATCATCAAACACGGCTGCTACTTGTTAGAGCTCTTTTGAACCTAGGTTAATTAAGTGCGCTCAAACTTTGATTAATCAGGCCAAAACTTTTTGAGTATTTTCTTCGTGTTCGTATCGTACGTATAAGTGTATGTG